ACTGAAATCTTACTTTGGCAAGTCTATGGCTAGTAGGCATAAGCCTTCCTGTTTCATAGAAAGTTATCGAGAAGTATGCTTTCTCTATCACAACACTGCATCTCATTCTCATGCATCACTACTGAATTCATCTCGAGACAAGGAGATGATATTTGCTCTTAGTCAGGCACGCACCAGATTGTGGTCAAGACTGTGCATACGCAGTACATACAGCCTTACACACGGAAACCCTTGTGCACGGAGCCCGCAGCGAGTTATTCATGACCAGGGTCGCGGGACCAGGGATAGGAACCGGGGAGCCCAAGTGAGTAATGGCAGCGAATCGTCCTGCCAATTACCGTAAACGACTTAGTCGGAAACTCCTGTCGTAGTGACAGTTCCAAGATCTTACGCAACGGCCCTAGTGTACAAATGACACCTGATCCCTACGAGTACTGCGAGCGTCGACTCCAACGGGCCCAGCCTCTTCTTTTCCTAGGCTTGTGCTACATCCATGCCGAAGCCACATATAGGCAGGGCATCTATAGCATATGCGGGCTTCGGGGGTAGTGCCGCTCTATCCTCTACGCAGTACGCGTCGAAAAACTCGTGTAATGTATATCGTACCTGATGACAACAACAATGGTAAAAACTGGCATTGTATCTGCACTAGGGATCAGCATAACATCTAAATGTTCACTATGTAGGCTTCTAATATTATGATTGAGGTATTGTCGAGAGCAGTGGCTGTGTGTGGGAGCTCTAGCTGCTCAACATTGAAGAAGATACCCTGAAAGGGTCGAGAAAAGCGCCTCAAAGCCTCCCGCAATTGGCGAGATCTAGGCGAGCACCACCACAATGTCCAGATAGGAAAAGCAAAGTCGAGGTGCACATGGTCTCGATTAACTCCATCGCTTAGCCCTCTCGCTGATGAATCTATGATTATTCTGCCCCGTCTCCCAATGCGATGTACGATGGAGGGCGGCAGACATTTACTTTTTCTTGTGAAAAGAAAGGCGGTTATTGGCGAACATCTCACTGTGGCGTTCAACTTCTGAAAACTCACTCCCCAGTCATGTCAGTGCCGAACCCAGTGCTACGAGCTATTCGGCGGTAAAGGCTCTGCTTCGACACCGTCCTTCGCGGAGGATCTTCCGTAGGAGAAGCAAAAAGAATGCCATGAATGATCTCGATAGGAGATTGCCATGCCATATCCTGACACCACTATTTGAGTCTCGAATTTCGGCCTCAATGAGACTATCAAAGCCTGTCTAAGATCCTTCTCTCCACCTAACCCTCTAGTAAGGTCTCGATTCAACGAAGGCCGCAACATACTGTCGATGGTTACACTAAAATCATCAATATGAGATCGAACAAGCAGGAGACCGTTTTCTTGAAATGACCGTTTCACATGGACTCCGTGGAATTGTCGCGGGCTCTTCCGCATTGATCACTCACTCGAAGTCGAGTGTGATGCATCAACTCGCCTCCCCTTACCTAGGCCGGACGAGGACCGGATATCCCCATTGAAGTTTACAAACAAACATCGCGATCAGTTCAATGACAAGCGGGGCCGTTTCGGAAAAGACTTTGTCCCACAAGTGTGTCTTTCCCTGAAGCCATGTGTTCTCGAAAGCCAACCACCGCCGTGAGACAGCTGTCTCACACCTACGTCGTCGTTGTTCCAGACGAACACTCTTCAAGCCAGGGCGTCCTTGCGAGATTTGGCGTCGTGGTCTCAAGCCACGACGTATTTCCAGCAGTTTGGAAAGCAGATAGATCACATGCAACTGTCGATCAATCTGTTCCCAGCCAGTGAGGGCCAGACAGATCTATCACCAACCCGCCCCCTAACAGCCTGCAGACAATAGCACGGTCTTCCATTCCAGCTGGATCTTGACCGCCTATTGATGCAGATGCGGGTGGTTGGGAGATGCACCTCCTCACCTTGCGTCCACCGATGCGAACTCGACGCACCTGCCACCTAGAAAGAGATCTGTATTGCTTATTCCAATATGCTGTTAGTTTAGAGGCACACCGTTTTCGACCCCTCTCGACCCTCGGAAGGCCCGCGGTTGTGGTGTCATCTAGCCCATCAGCCACATGATACGGAAAACCTCGAATCACTTCGAATACGGGTGGCTAGTGCTAGGTGCTACTGTCGGCTGAACTTTCTTTTGATGTCTCGTGGGAGTCCGTATATTCCACTGGTTGATGCCGAAAATGCTGGCCGGTTATGGCTCCGGGTTCGGTGTCCATGCGCCCGGAAGCGGACTCGGAAGCTCCGGTCATTGTGCAATATGGCTTCGAAGTAATGACTCTGCCGTCAGCCCTATACAATTAGCCTAGCTTTCATCGGGCATGTTCCAGGTATACTCAGTCAAGGTCTGACGCTTTCGCATGGGTTTCCTGCTTGGTAGAGACAGAGTGAATACCACGGTCGTCAAGCGAAGAGAGGGTGCCAGCCTCACACCCACGATCCATCAGCAGTTGAATCTCAGGAGGAGTGACATTACTAGATGGGTTTGTATGACAGCATGATAGCTAGTACCCTGTTCTCCGAGACACGTTCAACGGCTAACTAAACAAGCTCTCTACAGCCTGGTGGTGCTATAACTTGGCTATCAGAGCCTATTGCATAGAGCTCTCAGTAGACTGACTGCCTACTAAGTTCTGATTGGAGCAGAAGGAAATCTCGATGGTTTTCGGCACCATGCGTTTGCCATCTTCTAGGTCTCACGAAGGATGACCCCTTTCACAGCAGTTGATGCGTGCTTTGCACCATAGCCCTATTGGGCTACATGTGGACCTTTCGCTGCATACACGACAAAGTTCATTTGGGGGCCTAAGATTTTGGCGCCTATTGGACCCAGCCATTGACATAATTTATGGGCAGTCCACGGTCATAAGCAGTAGGTGAAATAGGATGCAGTCGTTCGAGCGGAGGACTTGACTACACGAGAAATAGTCAACCAACGCGGCCACTGTTGAGAACATCACAGATCAATGAGAGGGCAGTCAAGCCCCTGACTGTTGGTATGGCCGGCAGGATCAATAACGTTGGGCTGTAAAACGTTCGTACCGTGCATATGAGCTAGAGGATGACATCAGAATCTTAAAGAGTGAGCATAGAAGGAGAATTCATATTGTCCTGAGTTATCACTGGCCCGCGGCAAGGCGGTGATTGCTTTGCATGAAATGTGAGCGTTTCTCTCCGGCTCGTTGATGTGCCCTCTGTGCTATGTTTATCCCATTGTTATCGACTGCGCCGTATGGGTTTGCGGGTCCTGTATGCAGGAGAGGTCATCAGGGGCTGTCACAGCCACTTCTCTCACACTCTCCTGTCTATCCGGGACTCTGTACTCCTCCATCAGGGTAATAAACATTCATTCTTGAGGGTGAAGATACTCAATGTTGAGAGTCGTGACACATAAGGACCCGAGGCTCCTGTTTATTACTATAGGTCTATCAACTTATAAAAGGTAGTAATCCCTTGTTGAGGAGGTAATGGTACCCTTGCTATACTAACGTTTCTTACACTGACGGAGGAGTACAGCTGCAGTCTAAGATATTTGGCACTGTTTCCAAGAAGGCGGTGACGCCCCGTCGATCTCGAGGCTCAGAACCCCATGGAGCCGTGGTGAGGGAGGCTGGGCTGCACAATCTGATCATTCTGTGACTGGCTGTCATCCTAGCAAAGTCGGCTGTCGCGCCGCCTAAGCGAAAGTGTGTACCGCACATATGGAATGATGGAAGTGCTTTGATAGCAAAGTGCTTTGAAAGGTCATCTAGCCATCCTAGAAAGGGCAGGAGACATGATGTAGCATGTCAGCTTCTGCGCGGGTCCTTTCCACAATGTTGCTTCCTATCAGATTATTTTCTGTGCCAAGTTGAGAATCGAGTGCACATATTATTATCCGAATGCTTGATGCTTTTGGATTTGGCCTTACTGCTGCTTGATCCTAAGTTTGTTTGGTGAAGCAAGCATCCAACTGAAAGTCCTCTGTTAATCGTTCGGTACGAAACTTTGGAAAATGTCTTTGGCACCTTGTGAGCGTTTCTCCTGTTGAAGTTCATACTTTCCATATTTTCTAGTGATTCTCGACGAGAGTAAGAATATCTCACACGGCTCCTTTTCACAGCGCTGAAGGCCGGAGGCATGTCAGCGTAATCCGGGCATCGTAGAGACAATAGAACTTTTGACATTCATACATCTTCTTGGCACAATGTTTAGTGACTGCTTCCATAAGCCGGAGAGAAGTACAGGCTTGTGTTCTTTTTATTTAAATACAATTTTGAAAGGTCTGATGAAGGTACATCAGTGATGATAGCCAACTTCCGTGCATCTTTGAGTCCTGGCCACTACTTCAAACATATAGTTGTGCTCACTCACATCCCAGTGCTTTCTATGAAGACTCATAGTTTCTAAGAATGTCACTGCTTTCATATACAATCATGATGTATAAGTTGCCGAGCGAAATTCCCAGAGAGAAAAGGCCACAAGCCATCATGCTGTCTTCAACTGTAGCTGAATAGCATCTTATATTCTAGATGGAATATTTTGGATAAATAGTCCAGCATTTTCCTTAAACAGGAAACCTAAAATATCGGCTTTTTCTTGTCACCTTGTTATTTTCGAGAAAGAGTTACGCCGGCCATGCGTGGAGTATGCTTTGATGATTGTTTGTTTCCCTATAAGGGACCTGCCATCTAGCTGCTGCTGTTTGACATGTTGCCAGCTCGATGCATGGTTAATACCTCAGGGCTAGATTCATTTCGTTGACCCATTACTCCCACTGTTGGACGTAGGTCAAGATATGGCAATTTCAAACACTTCAAGCTGTTCAAACACTGACCATCGATTTAAAGAGTCCCAGATCAAAGGCGTCCTCCTCGTTAATGCATGTCAATCGCGCCAAATGTTTCTGGAGCGTACATGTCTGAACGAAACGGGGTATCTATTGATGCTATCTTATGTCATAATCGTCGTAGAACATCGCAAAGCGAAGTCAATTAGCAACTTAGAGAGCCCAGTATACGTCGATCTGAACCTTCTCAACGTGATTCACCCACATAGGGAATCTTGCCTTTGCCCAAACTGTGACAACATCGCCTAGCTTCAAATTTCTGACAAACTCGCCTGTGCCAGTTGCTCTTCCACGGCCCTGCTTTTCGAGCTCATCACCCTGAGGTGAATCTGGGTCAATATTGTCCGTCCAAGACCACTGGACACGGTAAGCCTTGGTGTCTTTCTTGGCGGTCATGTTGCATTGAATCCTCATATTCGAGGGCAGTAAGTCATGATGGAATCTTCTTGTCGAGGGATCCTCATTGCTGCTCGGTGGCTCGAGTAAAGGCATAATTGGTCGCAGAGAAGTTGTGTCTAAGACAGTTTCATTAAGTTGCATAGGCTCCGATACTTCGGAGTAATCAGGTGTCAGCAGAGCCTGGTCCATTGATGAATCGTCAGAAGGAGACTCTAAATCCTCCGTTGAAGTAGCAGGGTTGATTGATGACACCTGTTCGGACAGAGGAGGTTGCTCGGTAGCTAGCATACTATTAGGCTTAGAGCTCGGGCTGGATTTGAGATTGTTCTCACCTGCACCACCTGCGTCAAACCTCTCTATGCCAGGTTCAAACCACGTCCACGAACCATGGTATGTACCTGTATCAGTACGGTTGCCTCCCCATCCCTGATCATGGCTGTGGATCGTGAACACGATCTTTCGACACGGGTGCTCCAATGTCGGAACCGAGTTACCAATCCACTTCTGAAACTGCTCGACAGAATATTCTGATGAGAGACTGCGTGGGTCTAAAGCCTTGGTGATGTATTCGCCATCGAATTGCGTGGATTTGACGAAACCGAGTGGTAGGGAACGAATCTATAAACTGTGAGCATAGCTGGGGCAAGGATCAACGCACGACTGAACTTACAACAAAGACATTCTCCCGCTCACTTCGGCCACTGAGAACCTTAAGTTTGCCCTCTGGCAAGTTCTCGAAGGAGGTAACACTGGTGGTGTGAGGCCAGTATTCAGCGTGATCGAGGACAGTATTGATCAGCTCTGGAGGCAGCTTCTTCTGCAACATCTCCTTCACGATGACCACATCGATTGCCTTGGGCTCGAAGCTCGGTGCATCTGGTTCGCTGGCAGGTTCCGCTGCTTTCTCTGCTGGGCGGACAAAGCCGGGCTGACCTATGCGGCCGCGGTGTCTGAATATTTGTGGAAACATTGGAAGTAGAACTAGGATGAGGACGAGTATAATCGTGATAATCATATCTCTGGATCGCAAGGCTCGGCGTAGGAAATGGATTTATAGGAGTGGAGAGAATATAAAGGGTGGCCTTAGTATGTACGCTTCTCCACACATGTATTGCGCGGTCGATGGGCAGTGAATCGTCGAGATCGTGGACTCTAATCGTGACCTACATTAGAGTGTTAGGGGCGACAGCAGTGACGTCGACGCATAGCGTCACCTAACTACGACACACGGGCTTGGCGGGGCATCCCACTGACATCACGCTAACTGGATAAGGGACCAACCTTAATGCTTATGTAAACGGCCATGAGTACTTTTTAAGTCACGTGAAATGACGATATCAGCCAAAAATGTCCCAGAGCTCTTTAAATGTCGCTGCATCGGCCAGACGTTTACAAATCACGACATGGACGGTGACAGCAGGTATATACTTGCGAAGGGGCTGATTGCGGTCTCTTCTCACTGTTACATCGTACAGAGACCGCCATGAAGCCCCAAACACACGTTTCGGCGGCTCTTCGCCAGCTCACGGCTTCGACTCGAGCTGCTCGTGGTGGGGTCAAATCTTTACGGTTGACGCCCTTGAGCGCAAGAACACAATCTGCGCCAACTGCGCGACCGGCGTCCATGCGAGATGTCTCGAGGCAATTCCACACAGTTACGGCTCGCCAGAGCGGTGCCTCGAATCCGGCAATGGCATTTCCTTGCCTCGATGCCCTAGAAAACCGATCCGCGACGCTCGAAGCTCGATCCGATACAAGCGGACCCGAACCTTCGTACACGACCGGCGCAACACTGAGCTGGCATTGCAAGGAACCACTTCTCCTCGACTGGGGCGGTGTTCTCCCAGAATACGATATCGCTTACGAGACATGGGGAACGATGAACGCAGATAAATCGAATGTTATCCTTCTTCACACTGGCCTTTCAGCTTCGTCGCATGCGCATTCGACCGAGACGAATCCGCAGCCTGGATGGTGGGAGAAGTTCATTGGGCCAGGCGGCGCGCTAGATACCGACAAATACTTTGTCATATGTACAAACGTTCTTGGAGGTTGCTTTGGATCAACGGGACCCGGTAGCATTGATCCAGCGGATGGTCAACTGTATGCAACGAGATTCCCAATCCTGACAATGGAGGATATGGTACGGGCACAATTCAAGTTGCTGGATAGTATGGGAGTCGAGAAGCTCTACGCGAGCGTCGGATCAAGCATGGGCGGAATGCAATCGCTCGCAGCCGGAGTCTTGTACCCTGAGCGTGTAGGCAAGATTGTGTCCATCAGTGGCTGCGCTAGGAGTCATCCCTACAGCATTGCGATGCGGCATACCCAAAGACAAGTGCTGATGATGGATCCGAATTGGAATAGAGGATTCTACTATGGAAAAGTACCGCCGCATGCTGGGATGAAGCTTGCTCGGGAGATTGCTACTGTTACATATCGGTCCGGACCAGAATGGGAGCAACGCTTTGGACGTAGGAGGGCTGATCCGAGCAAACCACCCGCTCTATGCCCGGACTTTCTCATCGAAACCTACCTGGACCATGCCGGAGAGAAATTCTGCCTGACATACGACCCGAACAGTCTGCTTTATATTAGCAAGGCTATGGACCTTTTTGATCTGGGCCGAGAGAACCAGTCACGGGCTGCTGCCCGCCGAGCCGAACGAGAGCAAGATCTGAAGTCTGGCACCCGATCCGCCGGTCTTGACTCATCTTGTAGCCTGACATTACCAGACTTGCCGTACGAAGAGCAGCCTGGAACGGCAGAAGGCGAGGTTGACTCGAAGCTAGCTTTAACGGCGAAGCCACCAGCTGACCTCATCGCTGGCTTATCAAACCTCTGGAATCACCCGACGCTTGTCATGGGCGCCTCCAGTGATGTCCTGTTTCCAGCATGGCAGCAACGAGAAATTGCAGAGACATTGAAGTACACAGGGAACCGAGCGGTGACGCATATTGAGCTCAGTGAAGAACAGAGTCTTTTTGGCCACGATACATTCCTTCTGGACCTGAAAAATATTGGAGGAAACTTGAGAAATTTTCTTGATTGATGAACTAGATCATCGGGAATGTTGAGACCACGTTGGGAGGTCAGACCGCATGATCATTGCCATTGTTCAGTGACTGAAAGGGCTGGCTCAACAATCTGGAGTATCATATGTAGAAAAGCTACGTCAGATAAACGTAAGCCGCATCTTACAGCATATCATGGCTCTGAAGCCACAAACCGGATAGGAAAGTCGTTCCACTCCGGACATAACAGACGAACTCCGTCATGGCAGGAAATCTTGTCCGATGGTTGGCTCGAGGGACGGAAGCCGTTCAGTCGGCGTAATAGCAAAAATTCAGTAGTCTCAAAATCAGAATTGACAAAGAACCCTTGAATGCTACATGCTTCGAGCTGACAAATGGAACCAAATCCCATTGCTGCGTGAGATCGCACCATATCTAACCAATACGTGTACGAGGCATTCTGGGCAGACTCTTCGTCGCCTGAGCCGCATAGCGCTACCGAGATTGCCTATTCTGGGAGGATAGGTGTGGATTGATTGGTTTTCAGCGCTCGACGGGATCTACAAGGTTCGGAGCCAAGAGAACCTTACCTCCAGGCTACCGGATGAGCTGCAGCTGCAGCCCACTGCCAATCCCTACTCGCAAAACTCCTTATTCCCAGCAAACCATTCCAAAAAGGGCCCATATGGTAAAGTGTGAATGGAATCATTTTTCGTCTCCCCTCAGAGCCGGGTTTAACTCGAAACGATCGTACTTCACTTCCCGGACTTTAGACATGGCGGATTTATGACTTCCCATGATAGTAACTGTTGATGCCGTCATGACCTCTACGTTGACTTAGAAAAGAGGATAAATATGACCTGGAAAAGCCTTACAATCGAATAGATAGAGGAAGATGGGAGATAGTCATAAAGAGACGAGTGATATCTATCCGCAACGAACAGCTACTTTTGACACCTGATAATTAAGAGCGATTCTTTATTTTGCTTATAACAGCCAGCCGAGAAACATGGCACCCCAGCTCAAATATATCAACAAGCTAGAGGGTAAGCACATTATAGTGATTGGCGGCTCAAGTGGCATCGGCTACGGCGTTGCAGAAGCATCTCTCGAGTCCGGCGCCATTGTGACCGTCTCCTCCTCACAACAGGCCAAAGTGGATGCGGCTGTCACCAGCTTAAAAGGGAGCTACCCCGAAGCAAAAGTCTCTGGTATCGCTTCGAACCTGGGCGACCCTGTCACCGTCGAGGACGCGCTCGAAGCGCTCTTCAAGCAAGCCACGACCATGAGCGGTCAGATCAGCCACGTAGTATTTACGGCGGCGGATGCACTCGCCATCGGAGCACTCCAGGAAACCAGCGTCGAGATGGTATATAAGGCGGCACAAATGCGTATGATTGCTCCACTGATCACTGGAAAAGTGGCGGCCCGATATCTGGACAAGAGTGCCAAGTCGTCCTTCACGATCACCACCGGCGTCGCGGCCGAGAAGCCAGGCAAGGGATGGGCGGCTGTTGCGTACTTTGCTGGCGGCTTGCAGGGTTTGACGAAAGCCCTGGCGACTGACCTGGGTCCGATCAGGGTCAACTGCGTACGGCCTGGTTATGTCAATACGGGGCTATGGGATGGCATGGGCGAAGAGGCAAAGGAGGCTTTCTTCAGAGAGGCTGGAGGGAAAATGCCAGTGGGCCGGGTGGGAGAGATCGAGGATGTCGTCGAGGCGTATCTCTGGCTTATGAAGGATGCTAATGTGACTGGAACTATAGCAGGTACAGATAGTGGCGCCATGCTGATCTAAATGAATTAATTGTTGTACTAGCAACAATGGTGGTCCATTGTGGTGCCATCCATGAGGGTCGTGGTACTCCAAGTAACATAGGTAGGTAAAGCTTGCAGAACGCGGAAACAGCCAACCTTCTTCGAGACCCTGCATCAAGCAGAGTACTCAATGAACGATGTAAATTCTCGCAGGGAGTAGAGAAATCAAAAATTGACCAGAGTGATTCTTGATTCACTCTCTCCTCTCCGCGGCGGGAGGTGGAGGCGGCGGCGGGTGAATAGAAGAGAAAATCAGATGTGAGGTTGGGATTGGCTTTGAAGAGACTTTAATACTCGAAGGTGCATGACACGTGCAAAGCGGCAGGTACGAGACGGACAGTTGCCAGTTTGAGTAATTGCAGCTTGCCCCTTCCGTGCTTCACCATCACTGGACCTTGCTGGTGCAGCGACGCTTCACCTGTTCAAAAAAAAAGCTGTCTAGGTATTGCGAAGAGGCAGGAGCGTTGGGTCAACTGCATCGCGAAATCCCTCCGGTCATTAGAATGTTGAAAAGTGCGTCTTCAAATAACCTAAATCACCCTATTGTAGCATTGACGAGGAAATCGAAAGCATCCAGCGTGTTACTTCTATTGCACCAGATCAGTACAATACCTATCTATACAGATAATGAGCTCAGAAGATCGCGCCTGGACATCAATGCCTTGGAGGCGAATGACAAGACCTCATAATATCACACAACACTACTGTCCCTGGACTCATTGCATGAAAGAAGACAAGGGAATTGGCCGTTTTGGGGACTGTTATTGAAGTAGAGATAGGTAATAACTTAAGTATCAGAAACTATAAATCAAAGTCTGGCTCATCTGAAGAGCCAGCTGTGATCACTTCAACACCTCCCATACCTTAGCGCCAAGGCATTAGGTTCAAAATATAGTAAAAAAAGTTCAGCGAAGTAGCTGACTACTTGGGATAGTTCACTTTGATTTGAATGAAGCTATAGATCTCTGATCTCTTCGCTTTTTGCTTGTACACCTGGGGACTGATTGCTAGAGTCCAAGTGCACTATGCTAAAATGCTGCAAGATGACTGTCTCCAACCGGCATTCTTTTTGCGTTGTGAAATTAGGAAACATAGTGTCTGTCTGGTGTAATGTGAATCACGTAGTCTCGATTATTCCATATCTCTCCGTTCAACATGAGAGCTGATCAAGTCTGACTTGTGTCAGTTTTGGGAACCTTTTTTAGACTTTCCACTTTTCTTGTACCGAGAACAGTCATCCTCTATTTAGGCAACACAACATTCCACAACTGCCAAGTCTCGGTAGCCACTTGTTGGTCCTACAGATGATCAAGAGTTATAATGCAAAATCAAAGCGAAAACCCTCAGCGAAGTAGCTGCACACATTACAAGTCTTTTGGGTAGCCTTCTGACCCTTAATTGGGTCTCTTCACTTTTGCCATTTGAGGCCATAATGAATTGTCTCATCTGCTTGTCTTTTTGCCTGTCTCGCAGAATGATGCCTGGTCTTCGCTATGGTCTGCCAAGATTTGCATGATTGCCTATGTTAGGGACTTGTGCCGTAGTGGTTACGCGCTTCTCAGATTTTGATTTTGATTCATTTGAAAGAGGCTCCTCGGTTCACTTCCCCCTTGGAGCATTGTCGTATTTTGAAAATAGTATTTTATTCATCCACTGGCATATGTTCAACGAGCTAACCTGAAGCGTACAACTTGACGTATGTCGGCCGCCTTACATCGGCCAGTGACTCAAACAACTGTCTCCCTGGCGTTGAAGACTTTATATAACAAAAAAGGAGCAGAGTTTCCTAGCGAAGTAGCTGAAACAAAAACTCATGCGCAGAAAGGACTGACCATCGAGGTCGTTAATTATCGCTTCGCTCTCATTTTTGCTTGATCTTGAACCTGGGGTCGAAGGCAATTAACCACCTAGGCGGCTCTCCGGTTCACCAATGTTGGCACCTCCGCCCTCCTCGTTGCAGATTTGACTGATTAGACGACGATATGTGACCGTTATACTGATACCAAGAGAGTTCCTGCAACTCGATTCAATCTGACAGTAATTTTTTTTTTGTTTTTTTTGGCCAAGATCCCTCTCATCTTAGTGATGTTGGCTGTGCGCGCCCAGCTTGCCGTTGTCTGGCGGACTTGCTGAGACGGAGACACACTGCCCCAACCACATTGCTGTTGAAGGCTTTATATTGCTAAATTGGACCAAAAGTCCCTAGCGAAGTAGCAAGTATCATCATTCAAGAGAGTGCAGGCTCTACTGGGATTTATTCCAGCCTCGAAAGAGGGTAAAAAATCCTGCCTTCGCTTTTGCTTTTTGCCTTTTCGATGGTTCTCTCGTCCTTAGCCAGTGAGCCAGGGTCGATCGTGATGATCTTCTGGGCGGCTTCATATGACATTCTGCAATTACTCATGGTGCAACGGCTAGGTCTATTTACTTTCTACGGAGGAGCTCATTGTGTCGATTCCACCTTGAGGCACTGTCTTCCTTTTTACTTCATTCAACATTTTTGCAGTAGCTTCCAGCTTGCGTCACGATCCGAAATCTACTTCAAGTTATTTGCTTTTTAGCTGTGCAGAGCAACATATTCAAAAGCACAGGATAATGGATAACTGTTCTCCGCTTGATGTTCATAGCACTGACGGCAGGGAATGATATTGTCAAGACACTTTGAAGAATTTCTGTGTATTCACGGCCACTACGTATGTAAGGTATGCAAACAGTCCCCCATCCCCCTACAATCTAGGTAGAAAGTTGACTGGATCTGATATCTCAGTACACCCGCCATTCCAGTTTCGTGTTGATCTTTTCATTCAACTCGTTTTGTTTTCGTGGCCAGGCCCCCCTTCCATTCCCATAATACTGTCAGGAGTACCAAGCAGACACAAGACATAGACAAGAAAAGAAGAAAGAAAAACTCCGTACCCCACGGTCGGCCCCCCCGGCCAACCAACTCCGAGTCACAAAAAAAGCGACGGCGTCTTGCAATGCGCAATGGTACAAGCTCAAGTAAGCGAGGGATGCGATACGTCTGGCCCATTGGGCATCGAATGTTATAGCACAAAGGAAAGTCTTTCAGGTATCGTTTGTCGTGGATGAATCATGTTCCCCAGGATGGGATCTGTCTTCGTGAAAGTTCAGGGGATCGATATGATAGGTGCTATTATGTCGCAACGTGAGAGCAAGTGTACAGTATTGCATCGCTCAAGCATTATCGGTCCAGGCGAGGTTGTGGTTGCCAGCCGTTGATGTATGCCATGAGGCCCATGCCAAGAAGGACAACGCCGATCATGGAGGCATACGGAAGGCTCTGTGCTATTGCCTGATCCTGAGCAAGCTTCCCAGAGGCGCCTGTGAGCGGTGTAATGGTATTAGCACGAGAGAGTGTGGGCTCTTCCGCTGGCTCCTCCAGGGCGTCTTCCTCTCTTGTAGAGCCGTCGTCAGAGGACTTGATCGGCTGGACCGCAGTGGCAGTCTTGGTTCCCGAGCTGGGCCGTCTTCGTTTGGATGGTGAGCGTGTCTTTGTCTCCGCAGCAATTTTCTTGGCCTCTTCGTCTCGTTGTCGGATCTGAAGGACCATCTCAGCAAGCGACTTGCGATCAGCATCCCTTTCCGCTTCTGCTGTCTCTGCTCGCTGCCTGTATGCCTCGAGCTGTTGCTTCAAGTTCGTAATTTCCGACATCATCAATTCGATTTGAGGCAGAAGTGAGTCTGATGGTTTATTATCATCAACCTTGGGAACAGATATCTGGTCGGAAGAGCCTGCTTGGGCATCAGACTCGCGTATTGTTGAGTTTTCAGTCGGTGGCTCAAAAGCATCCTCTAAGATTGATTCGTCGTGTTTCGAGCTTGCAGAGCCGTTCATCCGGGAATGTGCGTCATCCTCGAGGCGCTTCGCAAGTTCCTCAGCAGCCTCGCGTGCCTCGCGCTCTTTCAGCAACATCTCCTCCAAATCCCGCATCTTAGCAGTCTGGGTATCGATTTCTCTCTTTGCATTGTTTAGGGCTTCAGTAAGTTGTATGATTTGACTAAGGTTGTCCTGCCGTATTGGCGAGGTGTTCGATGGTACGGATTTAGGTCGTTCAGTGCTGCCTCGTTTTAACGATGGGACATCAGGCTTTTCGGGTAACGGCTGTTGTGGCGGAGGAGCGGGAGGGTCAGAGAATCGGGCTTTCGCATCGGCTCGAAAGGGTATGCCGTTGCCATTTACAACCGGCGCCGCCGCCTTGGGAGGATCTGGAACCGGTGGCTTCTCTAAATTTTTGACATCCTCTTTTGAGAGTAGGGCGTTTATGAACTGGCCCGTCCGTCCTAGGTCGTGAGACTGTAGTCTAGCGCTACGCATTTCTTGCTGTATCTAATATCAGAAGTCATTCTGGGGTTCATAGCAGTAATCACTTACGTGAAGCTTTTTCACAATCATCTCCGTCGTTATTGGTGCAAGCCAGAAGCCTCGTTGCCCGCCGTGCATACCATTAGTCTGCGTGCTCATCATGTTTGACGCTGGCGCCATGCGTCCACTGCTCCCAATGGAAGCCTGGCTGCCTGTCCTTCCCCTAAATTGCATCCCACCGACTTGGGGCATAATCATGCCTGCATTTGCAGGGTCTAAATCGCCAAAATTCATGTCGAGAAGGTTGCTCGATGGGTTTAAGAACCCAGCATGCTCGACTTTTGCTGCAACCTTACGGTGGACGACCGATGTTTGATCTTCATTAACAATATCGATTCCGAGCTCGAGGTGGTCCTGGGTTTGTAGCTCGTGCGGTTCGGATTCACGGTTCTCCTGGGACAGACGTGTACCGTTTACAAAAGTTCCGTTGGAGGATTTGATATCTCGAATCCATATCTTTCCTTGGCGATCTGCCCAGATTTCCGCATGCTGTCGGGAGAGTACCTTGCTGTCAAAGAAGCCATTCACCGGCGTCGGGACAGTTTTGGCATTCGTCTGGCGACCGATTCTTAAGGTATCTGGGAAAAATGGTACTTGGATGGTCTTGCGCTCAAATGTGCCATTCAGAGAGAGGAGATAGAGCACGGGTTGGCCAGGGCCTAATGGCTCTGCCAGAGGTCTTTGCGGGGCCATCTGTGGTTGAGATTGTAGCACTGGTGATGGTGAATGGATCGTCGAGACACCGTTGACCCCATTAGCCATCTGCGGTCGGGGTGCTGGCATCCTACCCATTTCGGTCCCACCTTCTCTTGCTAGAGGAAACTGTCCCTTTCCTTGCGGCCTCTTCCGTGGCGCGGCATTGGGCCAGCCGCTCAGATCGCCAGAGGCAGGCATCGATGCGCCATTTGTCTGCCCATTTGTGGATACAGCTGTTGCTGTCGAAGAGGAAGATGAGGTAGATGAGACGGAGGATGATGAGTTCGTTCGAGGGATGGTTTTGCGAGGCATGAACATGCCCCGTACCTCGTCGGGGTTCATCGAGTTTAGAGACTGACCACCATTAATACTCCATGCCGGCCGATTAATGTTGGAAAAACTCGGAGGGCTCGCGACTGCCGTCATGAGGAAGGGCTCGGCTGTAGCCTTCGGATGGTCGGGAGGTGGATAGGATAAAGGGGCCGGCGGGTGGCGTGTTTAGAAATCGCAAGCTATTCGTCCCCTACTCATTCACCACTGGCACAGGAGGCCGGTTGATATCGCAGTCTCGGTTGACTGTTGACTGGGAACTTAACATATGTCACGCTGTGTCTGTTGTCTGATAGAGATCGAAGGGAGGCTGCTGGCTGGAGCACGGGAGGATTAGTTAGCCTTGAGGTCATCGGGGCGCGCAGGGCGGTCGGGGCAATTGCGGTAGGCTGCAGGGCCGTGGATGGCCAGGAGGCGACCAGAGAGCGACCTGCTGGTTGACGGATAAGGGCTCAACTCACCAAGCGATTGAATCGGGGCGCCTGCGGCCGTTGTGGATGACTTGTTCACAACTTTGTGATTATGGTCGAGGAAGAATGGAGGTCTCGACCCCGTCTCGCTAAGCGCTTAGCGTCACTCGAATAGCGATGAGGCACGCGCCGAGCAGCACTCCACCCGGCCGCCGTCTCCAGCTCTTATTTGAGGTTATATTTGGCGGGCGAGATGCGCCACTTTTGAGGTTGCGACGCGGAAATAGTGATACTTTGGTTCTTTCAATACTAGAGCATTGCAAATGGAGTTTTCTGCCTATATCCAGACTCTCATCTTCCCAAACATTGCATTTGCGAGACAAGATGGGGCTGGGCACGTGAGATGTCACTCGCTCGCAATGAGCTTCTCTGATTGGTCCTGAGAGCTGTATAGAGAAGATGGTGGACCGTGCACTCATTCCAACCGATGCTTCCCCACGAGTGGAGACATCAAGCTCCTCGAGCTCTGTCAGTTCATTCTTTTGATTTGCGACGACGAATTGTGGAAGACAACAGCCCGCCGACCAGAGAGAGCGAAACCTCCTTCAGAATGCCCGTTCCAGTGAATACCGGCCATGCTGGCCCCTCCAATTTTGATAAAGGTATGTTGCAACTACCTTGAAGGATACTGTGCCTGGCTAACCAAGCGACAGCGAAAATGGGAGCTATGATGGGAGGAAGTGAGTAGGAAGGGTTGTAGCGTGGTATAATGCAGAGACTGACTCTATCTCAGCTGTTGGAACCATCATAGGCTTCATATTCGGTGGGCTATACTTTACGCATCCGGGAGCACCGCGATACTAACTACTGCGTCTCAGGAACCGTGAACATTTTCAGATACGGAGCCGGACCGAACGGTATCATGCGGACACTCGGACAATATATGCTGGGATCTGGCGCAACATTTGGGTAAGTCTACAGGGCTGTGCATTGATGCGCCTCTGTCAGATCTGCTAAAGCCTTCCACAGCTTCTTCATGTCGATCGGCAGTGTTATACGATCCGATGCGTCCCCGATTGTTCAACAAGCTTATGCGAATGCACGAAGGCGGCCTATGATTATGCAACAAGCCTACAAGGCCCCCTTTCCTCGAAACTAAGACGGAAGAAAACAGCAGAGCGAACTGCGACCAGATGGTTGCGAAGGAAAAGCATCAAATCATTGCATTAGGTCCACGGCTGGATCACTGTACTAAAATGAAGACAATTGTATATTGGAAAGGGAGGATGAGACTCTTGGGGGAGGAAGAGCACGTGAAGCAGTACGTCAGATATCCAGAAGGCAAGGGGAGACCTATTCTTGATTGATATAGCTGGATTCAACAGACGCGGGCACAAATCGTGTTATTTTGAATCTATCACATGCCTGACAGCATAAATAGAGCTGGCTGGCTATGAGGACTGAAAAGAAAGAACATTTCACCTGGGTGACTGGGTTGACAACAGTGCGTTCTGTCTCTTGATATTGTCTGTGCAGCTTTCGGCGATCATGCAATTTATCGTACTGTACTTCGCGTTCTACATCGTTGAAGCTTGAAATACCGAATTACGACAACTCCAGCCTTTTGACGTCTACCACGAAATCTGTCGCTCAGTGAAGAACGATGTTTTCTTGCCCATCCCCGCTCTCTATAATCGAAATGGCAGTCTTTGAACTCTTCCATGCTGTAAGCGAACTTTCTCGCGCGGAAAAATTGGCTTTCATTCTCGTGCACGGCCATAGCCACAAGTTTCTGTCGGCGCTTGGCCTCCTGCTGGTCTCGGCAATTAGAATGCAGCGTACTGATAGTTCACTACGGGAACAGCAGCGGTTGCGGTGATCGATATATGACTTTAAGGAGCATCATTCAGCCTCTTCCTATGCTTCGTGTTACACCACTCGTGACGGTGCCTTGAACGACTACTATCCCGCCTCAGTGTTGTACGGTGGTCGCAGCAATATCTGCAGAATTGATGAAGCTAGTTTTGCGGCTTGAATGCTGGACCTCTAGAATACGGGCTTTTCGCCTCCTTGGTATTGCTGTATTGAAAGCAATTCTTACCGGCAGTGTAGTATTGGCAAGCCCAAGTATCACCAGCTATTTGTGTTGTCTCAGAAAAGAAGATCGGCCTCACATATACTCCAAGGCTAATATGATGGCGTGAATTCTACGACAGGTATAGACAGCACCGACTTTGTACGAGAGTATGCATTTTCGGTTCGTATTGAAATGAAGGGACAATCTCCTGTAACGGCGCGACTCATCCTGAAGCCCATAATGTTGGGGTTTGCGTAAATCATGCCCTTATTAGTATTTCATTCAGCTTTGACGACGCCTCTGTCCCTCATAATGTGACGAGGCTTGGGCACTGACATAGGGCGAAAAATTCTAACTCGGCCACCACTGCACCAACACCTAGACTCACTATTGGGCCGTGTTTGAAGCCACAGCTGAAGCCACAGCCAAAATTTGACTTGGCTGCAACCATTAGAAGTACTGACGCGGGACAAAAAGACAATATACTGAGACCTCGAACTCCACTAGTGGTTCTCCCTTGGCTTCGCGGTTACTCAGCCTACTGTACGAATCTGCAAACTTCGAAAAATAACGATTGAAATCGATAATATTACAGAGGAGACGCATGCCTACTATTTCGAGCCGAGGATGATTGACATTATGGGAACTATTCCTCTCAAGAATGCTGTGACTGTTTTGGCTAATGTTTTCGTAAGGCTGAGACTGCTCTCCTAGGGCTGGGTTGGTGAGCACGAAGCCTGGCAATTAACTCAAGCTTGGCTTGCCCCTAGCTAGTTCCGGGCTGTCAAATACGGACCTGTAGAGAAAACCCCTGTTCGTGATCATGCTAAGTTGTATGCTTAATCGTGCTTTCTTTTGTTCTCCTTGACAACTGGGCTGTGACGAGGTCAAATGATGATCATCCAACGGAGGGCAAGCCCCTTGCAGTGGCCCCGTGAAGTAACAGGTCCAACTGGCCTGGGAACGCCTTTTCCGTAAAGGGAGCCGCGCGCCACTTTATCTGTCAACTATTAGGACGTCAAGGCTGTGTCGATGATCGCCCCTGCTGAAAAATGAGATCTTGACGTCCGAGAGGGAGAAAGCATCAAGTTGGGACCTGCAGTAGCGTCGGGATAGCACCCGGGGATTGTCATGTAGCCGCAAGCCACGTCCCCGAACCCCGAGTCCCTCCTTGGGACCCTGTTTGACGCTTTGGGACCCTATTGTTCCCCAACGCTTTCTCCGACGAGTATGAATCAGTCTTTGCCAAGAGCGTCAAGAGCGATGATTGTCTTGTTCTTCACGTGCAGAACACACACAATGCACCAGTGGAGTTAGGTAGGTTAACCTGATGCGTCTGTATAAGAAGACGCTGGTTTCTCCTGAGTCCTACAATTGTCGATGCTCTCATCGACGTTCGTTACATCTTTCATTCATTATTTTGATATTGTTCCTGGAAGCCAGGCTTCTCTGGCTTCACGTCACTCGTTTACCATAAAATATGGGGTTACTAGACGGAGTAGTTAGTTGGATAAACGGGGTGTTCAACTGGATCTTCGGTGTTGTTGCTACTCTTGCGCAGACAAAGACTAATGGGTAAGTTGACAGCCTTCTTCTCGTCTCGTTATACACGATTAACAAAACTAGCAAAGCGATAATTGGTACCCTCGCGGCTCCATTGCTGCCATTCTTCCTAAATGACTGCCCCCTGCCCAACGGATTCCCCTGGGGGAAACTTACAGTTGGAAACAATCCCTACAAAGAATACCCAAACACTGGTGTCATTCGTTCATATGACTGGACTATCAGCCGGGGAGTCATTGCGCCAGATGGCTACGAGCGTGCTGTTCTGCTCGTCAATGGAGCCTTCCCCGGCCCTACCATCGAGGCCAACTGGGGCGACACCATCCAAGTCACTGTACACAACAACATCACTGGTCCGGAAGAAGGTACTTCGATTCACTGGCATGGCTTCTTACAGAAAGGCACTCCTTGGGAAGATGGTGTGCCTGGTGTAACACAATGTCCTATTACTCCTGGAAAGTCTTTCACCTATCAGTTCCGTGCCTCACTATATGGCACATCTTGGTACCATGCCCACTATTCGGCACAGTATGCTGGAGGTGTTGTTGGCCCCATTGTGGTATATGGACCTAAGCATAAGGCGTATGACATCGACGTAGGCCCAATTATGCTAAGCGGTGAGTTAGCCAGGACCTACAGAATACATCCAAAGCTGATCTTAGCCTTCCATTTAGATTGGTATCACAATGATTACTTCACCATCCTGAAGACCTTGCTTTCTCCTGGTGGAGACCCCAGGGTGTTCTCAGACAACAACCTGATCAATGGCAAGATGAACTTCGATTGCTCCAAGAAGGATGCGGGAGACAAGACCAAGTGTACCAACGGCGCCGGCATCTCCAAGTTCAAATTCAAGACAGGCAAGACTCACCGGCTTCGCCTAATCAATTCCGGCGCTGAAGGCGTACAACGTTTTTCTGTAGATGAGCACACCATGACTGTCATCGCTAACGACTTCATCCCCATCGAGCCGTATGACACCAAGGTTGTCACCCTGGGTGTAGGTCAACGCGTAGACGTGCTTGTCAAGGCTGATGTTGGGAAGCCGAAGAATGCATACTGGATACGCTCGAATTTGACAAGTTGCTCACCAGCGAAACAACCCTTTGCAGTTGCTGCAGTCTACTACGATCAAGCTGATACGAACAAGGCGCCTGCCAGCAAGCCCTGGGATGTACCTGACCCCGGAACGTGTGCCAACGATAACCTCTCGCTTACCCACCCGCTTTACAAAATGCCCGTACCAGAGCCATCGTTCACCCATGATGTGCCTGTCGAGCTGTTCCTGAACGAGTCAAAAATTTGGCTTTGGAAACTTGACAATGTCAGCTTCAGGGGTGATTACGGCGCGCCGCCGTTGTTGCTCGCAAATCAGGGCAATACCAGTTTCCCAAAGATCTGGAATGTTAGAAATACGTATACCAACTCTTCTGTACGGATGATTGTTCAGAATAATTCACCAGCACCGTAAGCTGCACTCGATATTTCTGCGTGTCACGCTCATATACTAATAAGCTCAACAGTCATCCCATGCACATGCACGGTGCCAATATGTACGTTCTACATGAAGGAGCTGGCGCTTGGGATGGCACATCCATTGTCAACGCATCGAATCCAATGCGCCGCGACGTCCAAATGGTCCGCCCGGGAGGCCATGTTGTCCTCCAGGTGGACACAGACAACCCGGGAGTCTGGCCCTTCCACTGCCATGTCGCGTGGCACGCCTCATCCGGTTTCTTCATGCAGCTCGTTGTGCAGCCTGAGAAGATCAAGAAGTTCCAAATTCCCAACACAGTTGCACAGACTTGCAGAGACTGGTCGGAATGGACGAAGACAAACATTCCGGAACAAATCGACAGTGGCCCATGAGTACTTTGACGTTAATAACCGTAATTCTAGGCCTGCGATTATCTATACACCTTTTTTCTTTCTTTCTGTATATCTATCTAATATTGGCCGTTTTCTGAAGGGCTGATGCTTCAAACACTGGAGATGGGACATAATGGCTATGGGAGCTAGTCGCTCAAGTTTAAAAGGCTTGTATCTGCACAAACGGATAATTATCCCTTTCATGTATATCATGTATAGCAGTATAAGCGATTATTGGGCTCAATTGGAAGCTCTACCACCCTTCTTGTGTACCAGTGTTAATATTGGCACGCGAGGGCCTGGCTGACGCAGCTCCATATGACGCCGTATTGAGACACGAACTACGACCCCATCTGTTATAGACTGCAAGAGACAATGTGACTAAATCTTGGTAATCTTCCAATTTGACCATCAAGACAGGAGCGATTTGTCTGAGTTGATTATAGTATACAAGGCTCTAGGAGCCATAGGATATCTCCTCCCTACCAGTGACGCCTATAAGTCACATATGACTCCTTTTCACGATAATGTACAACTTTCTACATTGAGGCAGTAACTGACCCTAAGATCAGAATTGCTGACATTGGTTGCTGCATTACTGCTCTTGTTCCTCCAGCTCCTTGAGGAGGTCTCGCATCTTGGGCTTTCGACCGCCCTTGGTTCGCCGTTCAGGCGCCACACGTCTCCGGGATTTCTCTCTGGCAGCATAAACTCCATTGTCTCCCATGTCGAGTTCGACGACTCTTGGGTTCTTCGCTCCGGCACTTTCAGCTGCAGCTCGAGCACGGACACCTCCATCTTGCTTTACGCCTCCCTTCCCAAGACGAACGTCTCGCCGGACTCGGGATTTCGCCCCAAGGGCCCAGAGATCTCCCCATTGGGCCTTCCGCGCATCGTGATATGCCTGCTTGTTGAATGAACGAGGGACGGTCCAACGCTCAATCTGGCCGGCTGGAGTGCAGAGCTCAAGCGTGACATGGCCATGCCGCTTGATCGGTGCACGAACATTACGAGGCAATGAAAGCGACTGAGGACGCTCGGGAGAGTCCACTGGTACGTTGTCATAACCTGCAAAAGCGCGGTCAGTGGCCTCAGTTCCCTGGGCAATCTGATCAATTCCAGGAGCCATTTTTGCATTATTTGTGGGCACGCCACGCCGCACGGCAATGAAGCTGAAGTCGATGTCTTCGTGATTGCGATGGGTGGCCCCGTGAACCCTCTGCAAGAACGGTGGTCGGATGAAGCGCTGGCTGAAGTGACAGAAGTCTTTCCGCCCGTGACTCAGCCCAGGAGTTAGGTACATTGGGCATTTCGAGTGATTGGTGCAAGGAGCCACTATCATGCCTGGCTCACGCACTCTCGTTGTTTCACTCTCAATAACCTCAGGCTCGGAAAGCGTCGAAGGCGGAATTATGAACTCGTTCAACAATCTGTCCCGCGCATCAGCTACAGCCTCGAAGCCGCGAGGATGCCCTTTCTCGAGAATAATGAGTACACCCCCCTCCGGGTTCAACATTGACCAAAGGTTGTCCAGTAATTCGTGTCTCCTCCAGGACTTTTCCAAAGGCATGAACATATGGGTCGCAATGATGAGATCGTAAGTCTTTCGAGGCTGAGGCGTACCGCCCTGATCAATATGACGCTCCGCGTTCTCAGCAGAGTGGAGATAATCAGGTAAACGGGGTAGAAATGTGGTGTTATGAAGAAACCGGGATATCCTGTGTCGTAGATGATCAGAGCCCACGACAACAGTCTTCTTTCCAGGAGGCTCGAGCCCGGAAATCATGCCATCATCACGCATCAACTCGAATTCTGCTTGAAGGACCTCTTGCCATGCTGCCAGCCCAGCTCCTCCAGCTCCAGCATCTAGCACCCTAGGGCCGCGGCCCTGCGCGTCAGTGCGAAACATCAAATCTTGTAGCCACTCTGAGCCCAGACGTTTGCGCACTTCTACCAAAGTGCTGGTGACGGAGGCATAAACTCCAGGAAGAACGGTCGAAATATAGGTATCTGCCTCTATTTCGGACATTTTGTGGTGACTCGCTTCCATGGTGACGGGCTTCTGTGGCAATCTGTTCCCAGATTTCGGCGTTGCTGGAGAGAAAGGCAGACCCGGTCCTCCGAACGCCTTCTCAGCAGTTTGCCGAATATGGGTAGTGTCTGTTCTCTTCAACAGCTCCGTGATAGGCGTTACAAAGTCCACCTTTGGTAAATGTAAAGTGCTCGGACTGGTCCGAAACTTCCCTTCAAGGCTGTACTGATGCATTCGCGGACCCGTATGTTCTGGCCAGTCGAGAAAAGTAGCATCTGGTTCGCCTTCATCTTCATCTTCCTCTTCTTCCTCTTCTGGCTCCTCCTGCTCCTCCTCGATATCTTCCTCTTCCTCTATTGGCCTGAGACTAGCAGCTTCGAAGTCTGCCCTGAGTTTTATAAGCGCGTCGTACTCCCGCTGGTTCTTAGCCACAGCATTGATGCGATGAAGTTGTGCTTCTGTTGGTGGCTGAAGTTGCACAATGCCTTCCTCGGTTACGATCTCCTCGAACTCCGTGGTCCCATCTTCTAGGGAGTATTCTACCTCTTCGAATTCACCACTCTCGGTCTCGCGCAGTAGCGTATTCTTGGACAGGTCGCTGTCAATAACATTTTCGCCTGCGTCTGGGATCCCAACATCCTCCAGGCGGGTGTCGCGCAGCGGGGCGCCATACAGTCTCTCATACAGCCTGTACTCGTCCTGCGACAGGTATCCTTGCGGTAGAGTATCGCCAAATGTCTCCCTCGCCTGCCGCACAACGGCCTCTAGGTCCTCCTTCGGCGCCGGTACATTCTCGACCTGGCTTTCTCCTTGTCGAGGTGCAGTTGTCGAGATTGTTCTCTGGAGGCGATTTGATCCCTGGATCGCAGGCCGCGCACTAGTCGAAGTCGAAGAGATGGAACGGCGCGCGAGTCGGCTGGAAACTGGTATGGGTTTCGCAAATGAAGCATCGAAAAGCTTCAGAAGCTGTGCCCTGCACCGTGGGCATGCGCTCTGAGCTCTCCTAGTTGAGAGCATTGCGATTGACCTCTTTCCGTGATGTAGTCGGGAATGTGCAAATTCGATGAACGTAGCAGCGAGTAAAAGTGCAAGAAAGCTAAATGGAAGCTCCAAAATTCTTTGACCAACCAAAGTTAACGTATTGCCACTCCTACCGCTTCCCACATTTTACAGGCATGACACAGCACTAATGTAGCCTCCGTAGTGGAGCAAGCTACCGAGGACTTCAGCGTTAGGATTCTACACGATTGAAATCAGTTTCTATGATCTACAATCTCCTCATCGAATAATGACACACAGATACCGCTAGTTCTTAAACCCTATGCAGTCCTTTTACACTAGAAATTCGACAATGCCTGCAACAAGAGCACCAGCCAAGCTGAAGTTCTTTACTGCTGCTGCGGCAGTTGGGACAGCAGGTGGCTGACCAGTTGTTGTCGGGGACGTACTACTTGACCCGATCATAGCATCTAAGTCTCTGATGTCTAATGCTTGGACCGCTTGGCTATCATATTGAGACACCAGCACCGTATTCCCATCTGGACTGACAGCAAATGCGCGAGGAAACAACCCCGAAGGAATGCGAGGGAATCCTTGCGCGCCATTTAGCGCTTTCTGAACATCAACGACTGTCAAACCCGATGTGGCGCCGGTGTAATTGAATCTGTTCGTGTCAGCGGTGATGATATACCGACCGCCATGGACAAAAGTGAGTCCGACCGGCGACGTGCCGACCTGAATCTTGGCTACCAGAGCATCGTCTGTCTGGTTGGCCGCCAGCTTCGCCGCATCAAAGACGACGAGCTGATTGCTTTGCCGTGCTGTGACCCAGACATACCGCCCATCCGGCGATGTTACAATACGTACGGCCTGGCAGCCGGCATCAACTCTGGCCCGTAGAGCCATAGATGGATCAGTCTTGAGGGTTGCAACGTCCAGAGCGCTGACGACACCCCTGGTTTGGTTCACGAGCAATGATGCTCGTGTGGCCTCGCTGACAACGAATAGGGTCTGCCCATCGCCAGACAAGGCGGAGCCGACGACCGAGTATTCGAGCACAATCTTGCCAATATATGTGCCCGACACAGTACGATTTTCAAACCGACTCACTTTGAATACCTGGATCGCGCCCCGTTTCTGGGTCACATTGGTTCCGTACTCCTGACTGACGAAAGCAAAGTCTTCGTCGGCAGACAGCGTAACTCTAAGTGCACTGGAAAACTCTTGAGTGATAAGTGTGCCAACAATGGCATCACCGTACCCAGTAGCGGCCTTCTCTGCGTTGACCACCACCGCTCCAGGGCCGTCAGCTATCCAGACTTCTCGTTTGTCCGCAGTGATTGTCAGTTCGCTTGCTCCGTTGTCATCAACAGTAGCATCAATGTCGATATTATAGACTGGAAGAGGTATGGTGCGGAAAAGTCTTGGTGGGGATGTTGATGTATTCAGGACGCCGAGGTTCGAACCGAGCGCAACAAACGCAGCATCATTACTTGAATAGACCAAACCAAAGGGCGAATCAGGCACAGATAAACTGAACGATGGTAAATGAAGAGTCATTTGGTTAGGGGCTGCTGATTGACAGCTAACCGGTGCAATTGATGCCACAGTGGTGGACTCGATGCAAATAGCGACGAGCAGAGCAAATATGGTAAGCATTTTGATGAAGCAGGAGACTCTTGGTTGAAGAATACTTCAATCTTGCAACCTCATGTAGGTGAGACTAAAAAAAAAAAAAAATAAAAAACACTCAAATTTCAAGTGTGAATCTGATTTCACTATCTTGGCTGAACATGACGTCGCTTTGCAACCGCCATCCCAGATCTCCTGAGTAGTATCTTAGTTCCTCATCAAAGCCCAGGCGGGTCAGCCAAAGAACGTGATGCCGGTGTCATCATGCTCGAATTGAGAGAATTACCAAATGAGGAACTTGAGCGCGCGCTCCATCGATCCTACGGAAGAGTCTATGGGCTAGATCTCAGCTTCAGGTGGGCTGTGAAATAATCAATGGAAGTGTGCCTGAGGAAGGGCTCTAAAATGATGCACAGGGTTATACAGATTCCCAAGCTATAGCATGCTGACTACGTCGTGATTGGCAACTTTTATAACCCAAGTTGTCGACTTGATGATTATCATACTAGCGGGGCTGCTTACTGTACTGTCCCTCAGCTCTTTGACGTACCAATGAACGGCTCTGGCCTTCGTAAATAGCCGAGTTATATGCGATGTTCGTGGAATTGGTAGGAGCACTAACGATAGGTAGGTCAGGCAATACAGAGAAATCCTTTAACTATGAAATTGGAGTATCATTAGCTATGTATGTGAATTAAGGGTATCAAGGCTTATGTATCTACGACATGTACTCTTGCCAAACACCCGTGACGAGGCATGAACTAGTATCTTCCACGGATACCTGAGTCTCCTTGCTCAAAACTGCAGCCAATGCATTCTGACGGTGTCTTCCTGTTCCTGTGCGGACGTTAAGTCGCTCAGGTGCTTTGAAAAAGGTCTCAAAAGGTAACAACGGTGTACTATGTCATGATCTTCAACCGCCGCGCATCTGGCATCCTCCGCAGATAGATTCGGAATCGACATTCGTATGACCACATGAACATTTCCAATCTGCTGCATTCACCATGATGGACCTGTGAGGATGTTGCGCCATGGTAAACCGATTGTGAGCGTTTCGAGGTTTCTCTTCTCAAGGGGGGCTAGTAAGCGTATGTCAGTTGTTGTCTTCTCTGTACATTGTGGCTGTAAATGATGAAGACTAAAATCATTACGAGGTAACGCACATCTCTTGTAATATCTGCGTCTTCGTGGTCTTCAAGCTAATGAGCTGCTGAATTTTGGTCTGGCTTATGCTTATCGATATCATTTTGGAGATTGATTCGATTTGTCGCATACTTATAAAGCTACGAAAACTCTAGGGGCCTTACGCGCCACTGACGTATGAATGATGTAGATTGATTCAATCGGCTATCGTAGGTTCCGATAGGAGTGACTTTGAATGCCGTCGGTATACTGTTGCGATAGCAAATATGTACGTGATTGGAAATGTCTTACTGTCTAAGTCGCACTGCAGTAGATGCCAATAGAGCGTGCACACGTCGCGCTACACAGTCATCTATCAAACTTGACTGTACCGTCCAATGAGCGGCTGTTATCCTGCGTCGTGGCACGCCTGGGCGTATATAAGTTGACGACATAAAGACAAGCCTAGATAGGCCTATGCCATCATTTTTTGTTCCGAAGTAGCTTCGACCTCATCTAGAAGAAAAAGAGCTCTCCTCATGATGATGGTGAAAGTCGCAGAAGGGCTTATGACATTCTCTCAGAATCTCGGAGCAGATTACTATTCTAAAGAAAATTTGACGAGTACCTCGATTATGTTTGATGCGACAGATGATTGTAAATGCAAAAAGATGTTGACTTCAGCCATTTTAAATTTTGGCATAGTCTACTTAATTCCTATGTTCTTTTGAGTGTAGGGATAGATCTGTTCAACGAAAACGATAACTAGTCGAAACTGAAGTTCGTAGTGCCCCACTTGCTTATTGTCTCTAGTCATTAGATAACTATGTTCTCTTCTACGACTCTTTGCGTGCATCTCCATTTCTGCTTTCTCGCGTTCAAGTGCCTTCAGTGGCTTAGCCAGTTTCTCCTCCTCTTGGCACGGACTTCACCTACAGCATTGATAATGTGATTTTGGTGGTTGGCTATCATAAACGCGGTCTTCCCCGCTGCAAAGTCTTGGAAGTCGACTTGGCATTGAGTTGAAAGAAGCCTTGATAGTTATGGGTCTTATCTCTCGGCATAGGTTTGCTAGTTGCGGAGTCTTATACTAGTACACGCTCCATTTGATAACTTATCTTCGTTCGAAGGGAAAGAGATTGGGAGACCTCTTCAACGGCTACATATATGTGCATAGAAGAAACGGAACTCATCTCGACTTCTCGTTATTGAACTGTGGGCTCATCATCGTTACATTCATCTTGAATCAGACTCTTGTTCAGAGAGCCAGTTCTTCGTTTAAATTTCCGTTCCCGGAATCTGCTTGTTCTGACTTATGTCTGCCCTGGCCAAATTTTTCGCGCCGGCGCGCATGTCTTTGACATCTGCGCTTGTGATCTCAGTATGCGTCGTCGACTCAGTTACCATTGCCTACGATGGTTCTCTTATGGGCTCTCTTAATGTGATGCCTAGTTACAACAAGTACTTCAACGTCACAAACCGCACCCAAGGCATCATGTCTGGAGCTACTTTCGCTGGAGCTCTCGTGATTGCTCCTATAGCGAGTAAAATCATTGACTGGAAAGGCCGTAAGCTCGGAATTCGCCTTTCAGCTCTTATGAATATCCTCGGTGCTGCTCTTGGTGGAGCATCACAGAACACAGCCATGTTCATTGTGGCACGGGTTATTATCGGTATGGGTGTCGGTATTGCCCAAACGTCTGCCAGCAGTTACGTCTCGGAAACCACCGCTCCTCACATACGAGCTTTTGCTCTGGGTCTTTATTTCACATGCTGGGCTCTCGGTTCCTTTCTCGCTGCTGGAGTCTGCCGTGGTGTAAGTCGAATCTCTCCCACTTGAAATGTGGAAAGTTGGGCGGCCTTCAATCTAAACACTTTCTCCATCAGGCTGTCCTACTAGAGCCCTCAACTTGGGCCTGGCGACTACCCAGTATCTTGCAGGCCGCGATTCCCTGTGTTGTCCTCATTGTCCTATTCTTCTTACCTGAATCTCCCCGTTGGTTAGCGTATAATGGACGACACGAAGAAGCTCTTAATGTACTTGCTCAGGTGACCGGTGAGGACCGCGAGTCTGCTAGTGTTCAGGTCCAGTTCCGCGAAATTGTCGATACCTTCGAGTACGAGAAGCAAGTCGGTCGAGGAGTTGGCTTCCGCGAAGCGGTTCGAATTCCTGCCAACCGGAAACGAGTGTTCCTGGCCATGTCTGTTGCGCCGCTGTGTATGATGAGCGGTTCCAATGTCATTACGTTAGTCGATTCTAAATCCACAAGGCATGCATACGTTACTGACTTTAATATGATTGCGCTATAGATACTACTTCGGAACTATGCTTTCCCAAGCCGGCATCAGCGATGAGACTACCCAGCTGGAAATCAATCTTGGCCTCTCTGCATTTCAGTTCTGTATTGCTCTGACCGGTTCATTGCTCGCTGAACGCCTCGGTCGGCGATGGCTGGCTCTTATAAGCTTGGGACTTTGCACAATGTTTTTCTACATGCTTGGCGGCCTCACAGCCCGATATGGAGAGTCTACTGACCGCGCTGGCATCTACGGCACTGTCGTGGTTATCTTCCTTTTCCTCGGTTCATACTCCTTCGGCATCACACCGCTCACCAGCATGTATCCTCCTGAGGTTCTTTCATACAGTATTCGTGCTACGGGTGCCGCCTGCTTCGCTGTCACAAACGAGATTTGCGGTTTTTTTGTGACAATGGTCTTCCCGTACATGTTTTCCGGTATTGGCTGGAAGACATATATGGTAAATGCCTCATGGAATGTTCTGCTTTGGATCTACATATATTTCCAGTGGGCTGAGACGAAAGGCAAGACTCTCGAGGAGATCAGTGAAATATTCGACGGCGAAAAACACTCGTCTGCTCCTAATCTGTCTGACCTCAAGGCAAAGGCGGAGGAAGTAGGCGATGTCTCCGTGTAGTTTCAAAGAGCGAAGTGTGAAAGACGGGGGTCCTGATACAGCAGCTTGCGGAAATGATCAGATGCAGGTGATCCGTTTCGAGCTGTGAGCCTTGTTGTTATGCCTTTGGTACAGATAAATATGCACTCCTAGGTAGCAAACTTGAATGTCTGTTGCGATCTTACCAGATGGATTCATCACTTTTACGGGTAATCATGCTGGGCAAAGTCGGAATCCCTCTCGTAAATCGTTTCAGGGACTCTTCTGTCACCATTACTGCAACTTTCAATCTGTAATGTTCGTAGCTTACTAGTGCCACTTGCTAATCATATTATATTGAATACCAAAGGACCGGCACATGATGTGTAATTGATACGTCAATATGCCTGCTGGCATCAATTCGATTGTATTTTCTCTGTGCAAATGGCTAGAGAAACTGGAAGAGGCCTGGACATGTCAATTGAATGGGCACACACAAGCTCTCCTTGCTCCGAGAAAAACAATATTCCGCTACCTGTGTTGAAATTGAAATATGGTGCCCTTTTTGGCAGTCTTAACATGGGAAAAGCAGCGACTTCAAGGAGGCTTCAGAGAGACCTCCTATCATCAGAAGACAAATGCGAGAGCTCACGGACATACCCGCTCCTTTGGTGATAACTGGGCGATCTTGGCTATTTTGCTTGGCATCTATCAGAGGAAAGAGGATGCCAAGATGATGTTGCAGATCAGTGAAACTTGGCAGATTGTTTGACCCCACCAAGGGTTCTAGATAAGGCCAGAACGAATTGTTAGGTCTTCTAAGGAAATCTCGCCGTAAGCGATCTGAGCTGTAACTTATCAGGTCCTAGACTGGAGATATCAGTAAGTGGCTTGTGAAGTCGTGTCAAAATCTCAATTCAAGTCCGAGTTGGTGAGTAGCTGGCTCAAGGCAGGTTGGCAGGATCGCATAGGTATTGTGTTCGTAACGACCGGGTTAGTATAGCGTAATATACACATCATTAAATGACAGATGACAAACATGCTGGCAAGACAGGTGTTTGAAGTATTTCTGGCCACATGATTGTCAAAATTTGTATACATTGTCCGAGTTCAGTCTCATAGTTGGCCATCTTCAAAATGAACCGAGCAAGTTTGCAATCTATAATAATGTCATGAAGACTCAAAGCTTGCATTAATGATAGTACATAATGTCTTGGGAAAATACTTGATACTCAGCCTGCTTTTAGTTTCTAGCCCTTATAGAGCAGTTCTGATCATCCCTCCGGTATGGACCTGAGAATTGCATGAGCGCAGTCTATTGATGTCCTGCAAGTTCGGAATCACTCAAATGGATAAATCCTCTGAGGTGATCTTGGGCAGAGCACGGATAATATTGTCCACTTTCTGATACAACTCAGTCATCTGAAGTTGCAGTGGACAGTTTCCCTCAGCCTCGCAGTGATGGCGAAAGAGGACTCGCCAGACATAGAATGAAAGAGCCTATACAAATCCTGCAAGCAAAAGGTTTTGAATGTTTCGATAGAAGCCCATAACTGGTTCGTAATCAAGAGAGAGAAGAAATGCCCCACTCTCGAAGCCGCTGTGCAGTATTTGGTGGTAATTATCGGGTTGAAGAGGAGGGTTGGGCATATCATCATAGTGAATGAATCATGGTTACGGTCACACTTGCAAAAGGTTGTGTATGTCTCAAATTTGTGGTCGTCATCGAGGAGTGTTTGGACCACTCCTTGGAGCTCGCCGTGAATCTTGTCTATAGTGACATCAATAGTGTGCGATACCACATCTAGTTGTAATTAGCCTCGGATTTAACGTTATTAAAAAAATATTTCATACTTGTGATGGCTTCAGGAACAAGGGCAAGATACTCGTGCTTTGCCAGTGTGAAGCAAACTCAGAGGTTAGGACATTCCTAGCCTCGCAAGCTAATTTGGAGAAGTTTGGTACACGGAACATGTATGCAGCTAGCAACAGCAGACCCCAATCTTTCTGGGGGGTTTTGGGGGGTCTTGTTGTGGTGCACCAGTGGATAATCCATCCTTGCAGGGCTTTGTTGAGATCGTATTTGTCGGAGTGTATTGAGATTGCCACCAACTCTTGGGGTGCCACGAGAGCGGTGGAGTCGAGGCATTGACAATGAATGATGCGAGGAATTGTCTCCATTGCTTCATGATTATCCTCCTCAAGACGAATGACTGGGCGAGATTGCTGAAGAAGTTGTGGTCCTTCCTTGAATCTGGGACTGAACATCTTGGAAAAGACAGATGATGCCAAAGTGAGAATCCTTGATGAAACAACAAAGCTATGCTGGCTTTGCATGGCATCATTGTTGACGACAAGAATGATATCTCCGTCAGGGTCTATTAGTACAGGATTGGATGCTATATCGCCTCCGTCGGCTGCATCTGTGGTGGCTGCGATAGGACAGGAACTATCCTCCAAAAGGTCCACCATCTTGAATTGCCAATGAAGCGAAAATACCTGATTCCAGAAGGGGGAGGTGAGAGTTGGAAGGTATGAGGGGAGGTAAGACGATGACCTAGTCGAGCTGTATCATGAATGTGATGCAGAGGTTATTGCGAAGAAGGAGAGGGAAAAAGAATCCCGGAAAGCAAGCAGTGGATGGCTGTGAAAGCTTTGTTTTGGGTCATGCTTTACCAAAGGTTAACCCTTCGTCGTTGGGTGGCAGATATTTGACAGGTGACAACAGGCACATGTGACTTTTTGTTGTCGAGTAGCAGGTCAAAGATTGCAAAACAGAAAGATCAAAAATGATTGAGTAGGTTAAAAAGATACAAGCTCAAACAAATTACATGCAAGCCCAACGCCTCGCAAACACCTTGTTGCTTATTACACCAATATGAAATCTTCTAGTCGCCCCCCAAATCAGCTAGAGTTCTGAAAGATGATTTCGGAGCTCCTGGACGTTGACCACTAGAGCCCGATCCTGCTGCTGCTGCAGGTCCGACTGGATTTTTGATATTGTATTTGGAGTTCTCAGCAGATTTATATGGGTCAAACTGTGACATTTTAGTTATTGCAAGAAGTAAGTAGCTGGCAGTTAATGATCGAGAGCTTACCGAAAAGAGCGATATCATGTAGAGGCCAAAGAAGTTAATGATGCCATTGATGAAGTTGTTCATATCCCATCTCAATGGTCTTTGAAGTGACTGCCGTGGACCACTGTTGCCTGTACCCAATGGAGTGCCTCCCAGAGTGCGGCCAGCTGTGCCAAATGAAGCACCGCTTGCAGGGCCAGCAAGCTTCACGGCCTTCTCAACAGCTGCAGTAAGTGCGGGAGGGTTGGCACCTCGGATTGTCTCAATGACAGTGCCATTCTTGAGAATCAGGAAGGTCGGCATAGCACTGACACCATACTTGGAGGCGACATCGCGCTGGTTATCGACATTGACCTTGCAGAAAGTGATCCGCTTCGGCTTCGAGTATTTTGTCGACAATGACTCGAAGGTGGGAGCAATCATCTTGCAAGGTCCGCACCAGTCAGCATAGACTGTACAGTACATTTGTCAGCTAATGTCGAGAACTTGGGCTTTGATTATTAGAGCTTACAGTCAGTAACGACGATGCTTGAGGAGCTGAGCACTTGGCTCCATTGTGACGAAGATCCGATGTTGACAGTCATTGCGATTAATCTGTGATCTGGTGGCTTCCAGATGTTAATTGCTGAAGGATTGAAGTGGACAGTTGGAGGTTCGGCTAGAGTGGCAGGCTGCGATAAGTGGCACAGCTGTCCCTACCTTATCGCTGTTTATCGAGCAAGAGAAAGTCCCGAGGTCCTGGAATGGAAGGCGGTGTGCAGGTGGTCAAGAAATTATGCCGGATCTATTCTAAGCCCCGCCTTTTTTTCTCGGCATCCAGAAAAGTCAGAGAATTGAAGCAACTTGAAGAGGTGTATTGAGCTACAAAAACTCTCTAAGAGTGAAATGCAAGATGTCCTTCCGAGGTGATCACAAAGCTAAAGTGAGTACTCATTCAGAATTCCTGTGAAATCTTGGAGAAGAATAGTCCTTGTGGACCAGCTCAGGCCTTGTGTCTTCGAATGTTTCCCAATGTCTAGAAGTAGGGGCATTCATATCAGGACACACTGCCTTGCGCTTTCAAATGCGACACTCTGTTAAGCTTTCATCAAGCTGATCCATAAACAGAAGCGAAGACTCGATGACACCAATGATGGATTACAAAGTGATGGGCAACGTAGCGGCTCCTCCAAGCCATTCGCTAGATTTCAAGCAGCTGGTGGAAGAGAATGGACCGTCTCCATCGCCATCCCTGGAAGCATCATCGCTGAGTAAGTTGTGCCTTTTAAGATTCAGGCTCCCTGGTTTAGCTAATCAATCGCATCAGCTGTGCGACTGCAGACCAGAGAATGACAAGTCCTGGACGAATCGCTAGAGCCTTGGCAGTCTTCTCGGTGGATGAAGTGATCATCTATGATGACAGTGCCCCAGACTCTAGACCGCCTGCCGTAGACCATCATGCCTACACTGGCGATACAGATCCATGTCACTACATATCACATGTGTTGAACTATCTTGAGACGCCACCGTTCATGCGCAAAGCATTATTTCCTCTCCATCCTAATCTTAGGCTGGCAGGTCTACTGCCTGGTCTCGACATGCCTCATCATCCACACAAAGACGAATGGCTTCCTTACAGGGAAGGATTCACGACAAAGGGCCGTCCTAGTAGTGGTAAAGGGTACAATATTGCCTCATTCATTCTTCCTTGGTGTTTGCTGACTTACTAACAGCACTCTGGTCGATGTTGGCCTCAAACAACTTGTCTCGATTTCGGAAGAGATACCACCCAACACAAGAGTAACTCTTGAGCTTTCTAGTGATTCTACCGATACAGCAGAACCAGTTCATCCAGCGGCGCCTCGAACCGATGCTGGCTACTATTGGGGTTACAGCGTGCGTAATGCAAATTCGCTGTCAAATGTGTTCACCGAATGCCCGTATGAGAGCGGCTACGACATCAGCATCGGTACATCGGAACGCGGTATATCCGCCTCGCAAGCCTTTCCCCCACAGAATAAGCCTTCATTCAGCCATCTTCTCATAGTCTTTGGAGGTCCTCGTGGCATAGAGTACGCTGCCATGAATGACCCGGAGCTGGGAGAGATGGGCATTAGTGTGGGACGTACAAGGGAGCTTTTTGACCATTGGGTCAATATACTTCCGAATCAAGGAAGCAGGGGTATTAGGACTGATGAGGCAGTTTGGATTGCCCTGACTGGATTGAGGCGGCTATGGGACGATAACTAAAAACGTGGGGGGTTGCTGTCTGCGATGTGGGCGCTGGTGAGCATGTGAGAGAAAGCAGAACTTTACAAGATACCCAAAATCATAGACGACCTTAAAGTTCAAATTATGTATATCACACATGAAGCGTTCTCGGGACACTCTCGTTGTCGCAAGTTGTATGCTTGATCTGATTTACAGGAGTCGATACAACCTAGGGGCGATTCGCAAACCCTGAATGAAATGACTACAACAGTCAGATCGTACCGCATTCGCGTCAGACTCGCTCCAGATCCAATCTAGCCGACCGGCACCCGATCCTAGATATTAATTGTTGTAGCCAAAACCGATGGTCGTAGGCTTGCTTCATCATCAATTCGGCCTCGCTCCTTTTGCTAGACCTGACACAGTCTTCGCAAGCGCCTCAGAACAGGACATCCCCAGGAAATTAAATCAATGGGCCTGATTCAGGGTCATCATTCGGCTTATTGATACGATGGCGCTCTCTAATAGGCACCATTTTGTTGGCCTAAGGACGTTGGCGAGCTCTCCGCTGGCCATCCCAAAATCTGATAGGCAAACTCCGCCATACAATACCTGTATTATCGATCAACCCCATGTGGCGCTCACGTCACTTTATCATCCAGTATGTGCATGAGATAAGTTGCCGAAGCCACGCAGGCTGGAGCGGCGAATTGAGCATTAACCTCGAAGAAGGCCATCATCTTACCTCAGACCATCGACTGAGACACCCACACCGAAGTCAAGGTATATCAACGAGCCAAGCCTGCCACAATATTCGAGATTTTTAGGACAGATAAATGCATGAATTTCAACATCCGATCTTCCCCAAAAAACCGTCGACATTATGGCTGCACTTCACGATCTCGGAGGGACAGCCAACTACATGTTGCTTCTTCCGGGGATTCTGGTAGCGTGTGGATTGTACAAACTCTTTGCATATCCTATCTATAGATGGAAACTCACTCGATCAGCCAAGGCCAACGACTGCCTACCGGCTCCGAAATTGACAAGTCGAGATCCATTGCTTGGGCTCGATACCCTGAGCATGATCAAGACCGCTATCAAGGAGCACCACTTTCTGGAAAATGCGATGGACATCTTCCAGAGGACGGGGTCTTGGACTGTTGAGTTGAATCTGTTCGGTCATGTAGACATTCGCACAGCCCATCCTGAGAATATCAAGGCGATACTTGCAACGAATGCCAAAGATTGGGAGATTGGTCATTCACGCAAGAAGTCATTCATACCAGTGTTCGGTCCCAATATCGTCACCTCGGATGGAGAATATTGGCACGAGTCCCGGACATTGTTCAGACCGACTTTCGCGCGGAAGCAACTTGGAGATCTGGAGGAAGCCATGGAAACCCACTTCCTACAATTTCGTGACATGATACCGAACGACGGCCGTGCATTCGACTTGAAGCCGCTATTTTACATGTATTCGATGGACATATCTACCGAGTTTCTGTAAGTGCCTGGACATTGATATAATCGGCATGGGCTCATCATTTAATTAGCTTTGGCACAAGCACGAACACACTCTCAACAGCAGGCAATGATGATGGACGCCAATTCTCCGAAGCTTTTGACTTCATGATGCGCAATGTTCAGACGGTTCAGAAGCTTGGTATCCTCAAGTACGCCCTTGATCGGTATAGCCATGTTTGATTTCTCTGACTTTCATCCAGACGCTTGTTTCCGGACAAGGAGGTCCAAAAACATCAACGCATTCTCGACGATAATTTGGACAGTCTAATGAAGAGGGCCATAGGAACATACAGTTCCGAATCCAAAACCACTAAATACAACGTTCTTCATGAAATGGTCCGAGCATGGACGGGACAGGATAGGCGTATTCGGAGCGAGTCCTTTATTCTTCTAATGGCCGGGCGAGATACATCAGCAGCCGCCATGACAACCCTGTTCTGGCATCTGTCACGACAACCAAGTGTTTGGGCAAAGATTCGAGAAGAAGCATTGAATGGACCCGAGAAGCCATCTTATGATGATCTGAGGAATTTGAAGTATCTCCACAACTGCGCTCGAGAAGGTATGTCTACCTACAAACTGGATTTAGCCCACGAATAGAGTACTGACAGTGGCTCCCATAGGCCTCAGAATCGTGAATCCTACAATTGACCTTACTCGTACTGCAGCTACAGATACCATCTTACCCAAAGGAGGCGGTCCAGACGGTGAGTCGCCGCTCTTCGTGAGCAAAGGCACCGACTTTTCGCTGTGGATTTATGCAGTTCACCACCGCAAGGATATATGGGGGCCGGATGCAGACGACTTCAAACCTGAGAGATGGGACAGTTTCAATGCATCGTGAGCTACTACAATTTCCGTTTTCTCTTCTGATTGATTCTGATAAGAATCTCGCAGCATGTCATGGGCTTACAACCCATTCGGTGGCGGCGCGAGAATCTGTCTTGGACAGCAGCTTGCTATGACTGAGATCCTTTACACAACATACAAGCTGGCAAGGGAGTTCAAGAGGTGCGAATCCGTCGACACGATGCCGTTTCAAGAGGACGGAGCAATCGCAATAACGAACGAGCACGGTGCTCAAGTGAGACTCATACGTTCCTAAAGGGTCCTATGATTCATATATCATATACGGTGACGCCTGTCTATGGATAGCATGTACATCTTCAACGTATTATCTCAGGATGTCCCCTTCTTTCTGCAAACTCTCTGGTTCTTTGATAGAAGCTTGCTCTCTCTACGTCCTACCTCAGCACGGCTGTGATTCGCGAGTGCAACGACCTTAAATTTTTAGGGAGCCTTGCTTCAACACAATGTCTGAAGCGGACGAAGATATTGGTACTTCCCTATACTCGACTCTGTTTCAAGTGCTGACATGGCCTCATTCATTTATCTTTGCCTGAGCCGACTAAATACACCTAATTATAGTCATTAGCCCAGGAACCTCACCTGACCGTTCAAGCAGAGGTGCGATAGTACATATCTCAAAAGGTGTGTGTCAACGAGTTCGATCTTATGATTGGACAAAAACAATGGCCGCACGACGCTCAATTTCCCTTCCGCATGTACATCTTGCATGACTGCATACGCCCGGCGAACCACGACACGACCGGCTGAGCCTTTCGGAAAGCTCAGACGGTGAGTTTGCCATTTGACAACGCATAACTGGAGGCGACCTAAGATGAAATAAGCATGTTAATGGAGAATTCCGGAGGCTCGCCTAACTCGCACACATCAAATGTGTTACTTTCCAGGCTCGTTCTAACACAACCACGTCTTTTGCGGCCACCAATGATATTCTGGCAAGCCCACAACATTGTAATATTTAAGCTGCTGAGACCCAGCTGGATCTTTGGTTTTCGGAAATCCAGCTTTCCCAGGGAAACCCACAAATCGCCACCTTACTGAGCCTGATCGTCGTCACTGCATGGAAAATGTCTTCGATCAATAATGGTCCGCAAATGATTAAGTGGTTCTGCCATCATTGTGGGATCCAACTGGGTGCTGTATGTCAAGGTTTCTCTTATCCTTAGTCAGATCATATACGATGAGCAATGAAGCATGGGCTAACAAATCCAGAGTGCCTAAATTCCAATCGTCTATTATTCAGAAATTGCGTATATTCACTGAAGTGAATTACTAGATTTCGACACAGTTTTATGAGGGACGAAGGGTCTAGCGTTTCATTTTATCCATTGGTTGCAACGCCGGGGACATTAGACCCCGGTGAGAACCAATACAAAGGTATCATTACCATGACCACCTAACACACTGTGATTGTCGCTACTGTCAAGAGTATGAGACTCTCGATATATGGGATTGGGACGACCATGATTGCAGTTTTTTATTATTTTGTCAGAACTCAAGAGGATTAGACCTGGGCGAACGCTACTTCGACTTCAAGTTAGACATTGGCATCATCCCAGACGAGAACAACCGGAAAGAAGAAAACATTCAATCGCACATAGAGGCAAACGTCGATCCGGCTTTATTAAATCGATCATTGTATGGTACAGATACTGTCGATGTGCAGACGGAGGAACCAAGGACTAAGCTGGCCATCGACAATGGCTCATCAACTAATGGGTATAAGACCGACGAGGTTCCGCTGCAGAGCCAGCCATTGAGAGGCTCGTCGACTCCTGGTGCGACAGAATCTTCTGGTACATCTCGGGGGTCACAGTTTTCTGGAGAGGATTTTTGTGCCGACTTGCTGCTTGAAGACGAGACTGCGTCCATTAGTTTCATGAACCTGCCCAAAACTTCAGGGCCGAGGTCGACCGCTATCACCAGTGGGAGGGCAGAGCCTTGCAAGTATTGCGGACATCTCTTTTCAAGCAGCACAGCTCTCAGGTGCGTTTTTTTTTATTTTTTTATTTCCCATGCTCGAGCAAATTCCACTGACGATCAACAGCCGTCACATACGTGGCAAGCACAGATACCCATGCGAAAAAGGCTGCCTTGACAAACGCTTTGAGACCCCAAGAGATCGAGATAGGCACTACCAGTCAAGATCCTGCAGTGGGTACGACGGGGGTCACGGCCAGAATTATCGATGCTGTTGTGGAAAGCAAGATCATCGTAAAGACCTCCACATACGGCATCTTAGGACCTGTCGAAAACCACCAAACGGCTATTTCCAATGTCTACGCTGCCAGCACAGAACTACGATAGAAGCCAACCACCAAGAACACTTGAAGAAATGCCTGCAGCGTAAGAAAAGAGGACAGGGACACCGATTGAGTACTGAAGATAATGAATGATGCTAACATGGGATATCTCTTTTTTTTTTCGGTCGAGAGTAACGTCCTTTCTGACTTCTCTTCTGCCCTGACCCCGGTTGAGTACTTGGTCTCGGTGGATGGGAAGGAGATTTGGTCTCAAATTCTGATGGAAGTGGCAATACATGTGATCTGATGGCATGAGTTTTCCTTCATTCGCTCATTTAATTCGGGTATTGTTTTTATCTTTCAAGTTTTTTTTCAATTCGTGGCTATATCCTGTTTTTATTTTCAAGTTCTCATCCCAGATTCAACCAACCTGGGAGTCCCGAGTCTTGCAGAGGCAAACTGGGGGTTACGAGTCTTGTAAGGATTTTGTCATTGCTCAGACACACTTCAACAGTACTTTGGCATGACACACTAAGCTCTGGCTATTCATTCATTGGACTTGAAGGGCCAATGATGCGCCTTTGAGTCGATTAGTAGCCCCTTAAACTAGCCTATAGCTTAGGTACGCTCTTTTGAACCCCCTCGACTAGAAAATAAAGAAAACGCTCGACCGGATATCCAGTTACCATAAAATAACATGAATGTTTTGTTGGCTGATCTTAGCTCATGTTGAGCTGAAGAAGCACCCGCAGACCCTTGTAAAAATATGGCTGCCCAGCCAGGTTGGCATGAGGGGTGTAGACTGGCGAGTTGTCCCCTTGGGGAGGATAATGCATTTATTGTTGTTGTTCTATGTAGGATACTAACCGGTTTCGCAGGTATAGACGATGACTTGATCCTTGAATGAAGTGCCGAATCCTTCGGCTTGGCTCTCCCATTACAAAACCATCCTCACCACCTTCGTGGGAAAAGAAAAAAGGGAAAAGAGAATGTAAAAAAAAAAAATTAAGTAAAATAAACCTCACGATCTTGAGGAGTCCCACGTCAACAGAATGCCTACCTTCTCATATTATCACATCATGCCGCTCTTCGTCGGCACCGCCAACACCGTGGGCGGAATCAGTAAGCAACGTTTGGAGTTCATTTCATTTTCACCACTTTTTGGCCATGTCTTTGGAGCAATGGACACAAATATACCGTCCCAATGTGGATAGTTGCTCCCGAGAGATCTCTTTTCAAGTCTTCCTCCTTGCTCTTCTACTGTACTTTCAAAAGACGATGAACTGACGCGCCGGATGTTGTAGTGCATCTCTTGGCGCCCGCGGGGACGATGCGTGAGATGGGGCTTTCCGAGCGCATGGCCGTGTCGGTGGCGGCGCAGCGGGCCATGATCATCGGGGGCGCCCGGACGTCAGTCCTGGGGATCGTGACCTTCATCCTCTACCTGCAGGGCGACCTGGCGACGGTCGACACCGTCATGTCTCTGATGCCGTGGCTGGGCTGGATGGACGGCTACGTGTGCTGGAAGGAGGGCAAGCCTGGCTTTGGGCTCTTCCGGGCTGTGGCGGCGACGCTGATTGGGGTGTGGGGGATGTTGGGGATGAGCCAGAGGTGAAATGGTGAAAAGGACAATTGGTTTAGCTATGTGGAAGAAACGAGCGCTTGTGCTGTGTCGAAATTGGCTCGATGGTACTACGATTCAAAACGACATTTGGAGAGGATCGAGGACGGCGAACACAATGCTCGTCATCATGGCTAGTCAGAACGTCATCGTCGTGATTGGTTGAATACGCTGTAGCAGTGAAAACTGTCTTACATGAGTCGACACATTGTCGTGAATTGTCCTTGTCGCTGCATGCATCCAAGGCGGCTCAATAACAAAGGCATTGTTTCCATCCTATCCATAGATGGCCGAGGCACAAGTTGACTCGAGCCTTTCAACCAGTATTCGCAACTCTCTTGATGGCCTAAGGCATCGTCTATAATCAAGAAGAGTCCATTGGCCTACAAGGAGACGACCGGGGACCATAGTCATACACGTAGAAACGTTGGGATGATCTGCCGTCGACCCGAGCACGTGCGACTACTGTACATGACTGGGCCAGGGAAAACAACTACTACTATGCCCTGATATTGGTGTTTCGAAATATGCGTCCCTGGTATGGTTCCAGGATTTTCAGCAGCAGCATCACATCATCACATGATAGGGGTCCAGGTCGATTTGCAGAGGGCATGCGCGCCAATGAGGAGTTGAACTCTTGGAACTCATCTGAAGAATGAAGGCGGCGGGTGTCGCCGTGTCGCAGAATCTGCAACTCTCGAGATGTGCCTTGTCATGCGTTCCGAGTTGGCGGGTAGCGGTAGTGGCGCTGACGCATAACACTGCACATACCACTGTACCTACTGTATGTAGTCGTTCACGAGAGTTCCATCATCATCGATCGAGAACATTTCCGCTAACTGGAAGACTGTCTACAATGTAATTATAATGTATAATGTACATTGCTTCGGAGCTTTGCTCCTGAATGAGCTACAGCATTTGCAATGCAGTGATTGACAGCTGAAGCTCTGCGAGTCAAGCCGTCAGGGCATCGGGGCGATCGTGGGGAAGGAGAAGAGACGAGGATGCATTCGACCACAGTGACGTAAGCGTTCTGCGGGAGCTTTTGTCGGGTGCGCTGCCAGCGGACGGAAGGTCTCCTACTCGAGTATGAGTACAAGGCGCCTACTCGGATTGGGGGAAGGGTCTTGTCTTGCAGCGATCTGTGCTCTTTGGGCGTGGATGGGCGTGGATGGGCTTGGAGCTAGCGCAGCTTGGCGAGCGGTGGGGTCCCAAAGGTAAAGGTTCCCACTGGATTTGCAGTGCAATACACAGAGTCGCTGACTAGAGAGTGTGTAGGTTCAGCTGTGCTAACAATATTGCTGCAGTTCGGTAGTGGTTAGCCTGGCCTCGCCTGCAGTAGAACGGCCGAGGGAACTTGGTGAAGGCAACCTTAAAGTCAGGAGTGTCGTCATTGAAGCCCCACACCCGCGCAGAAAAAATCACAGTCAGTGACCAGCAGACCAGCAGACCACCAGACCCGACAGACCACCGCCTAAACACCGCCGTCGTCTGTCGTGGCTTAGAGCTTCCCACGTACCCGTAGGTAGTGTACGAATACCTCCCCCACCCCACCCCGGCCTAAGGTATCTTCTTGTTATTTATTTCTATAGGTATGCCTGCTCCCGCATCATCCTACCCGACCATCCTCCCATCCATCAATTCTTCCTGTTTTCTTGATCTGATCTGATCTGATCTGTCCTGGTTGTGGTATCTCCAACCTGCACCAGAGAAGAAGAAGAAGAAGTCGTCGACGGCGTGTGGATGTAATAGTAATTCCCTATTAAGAGACCGCCTCGTGTTCCCGTCCATTCCTACCACCACCCTACCTCCCTACCTCCCTACCTATAGCAACCCTACAACTACAGCTCCAGCTCCAGCTCCTACACACGGACCCCTTCTAACGTGATTGGGTCTACCGCCAACAAACGCATCTTCCTCGAGCTCTCAGGCACTTCATGTTCGCCGCCGTCCGTGGTGTGAGACATTGAATCACCCAAAGGTATGCGATCATCCGCTGCCCGTAGCAATGGCCCTCTGTCCTCCGTTACCTCTCGCTACTGCTACTGGCTGTCCCATCCTATGCGATGCGATGCGATGCGACAATAACTAACAAAACCCCTCGATAGGCGCTCTCCTCATCCTCATCGCAATCCCGAAGCTCTCTTGCTCTCTCCGCGCATCATCCGACGACTTCGGTCGCAGAACGACCTAATACTAATCCCTAGGATAATCGCCTCATCGGCGTAAACAAGCACCATGGTCCTCGGACGTATGTTTACTCAATCCCAGGCCAGAGCTATCACGGGCGATTGCAGCAGCTTTACTAACAGTGTGCGACAACAGATCCGTCACTGGGTCTCGTTTCCCTCGTCTTCCTCGCGGGAGCGTTGGTCCTGACCTTCTTCATCATCCTCGCCGGCGTGTCGACCACCACGCCGCTCGACAAGACCTACTTCCTGCGCGCAGACACCTCCCTCATAACAGGGGCGCGCTCAATCTCCCAGTGGACCTACTTCTACATCTGCAGCCCCGGCAATGTCGACTGCACAAAGGCCAGCCCTGCCATGCCTTTCGGGCATGCGTGGGCTGACAGCGCCGCCGGTGTGCCGGATGGCCTCTCTGGGTAAGTGCAATTGAGCCCAAGAACACTCTTGAAAATGTGTGTCTCGGACGGCCGCATTGACAAAGGGATTGTCTTGTTGCAAAATCCGGATCAGCTTGCTAACAGCTTCGCACAGGGGTTTCGCTGGCCACACGACTTCAAAGTACTACTTCTACATGTGGCGCTTTGGCTGGGTCTTCTACCTGATCTCGCTCTTCTTCATGGTCACCGCCTTCTTCACCGGCTTCCTCGCCTGCTGCGGCCGCCTCGGCTCCGCTATTTCCGGCTTCACCTCTCTCGTTGCGCTATTCTTCTACAGCGTCGCGGCATCGCTCATGACGTAAGTCCCCCCACTGGAATCTAGCTATATGAAATGACCGTCATACTAACGTCAGAGAACAGAGCGACCTTCGTCAAGGCCCGCGACGCATTCAAGCACGATGGCCGCGATGCCTCGATCGGCAGGTACGCCTTCGGCTTCACCTGGGGCGCGTGGGCCGCCCTCTTCATCGCCTCCGTGCTCTTCTGCCTCGGCGTGCGCAGCAGGAACGACGGCGTCTCGGACCGCCGGGGCTGGCGCCGTCGCCGAAGCACCCGCAGCCGCCGCTCCTATGACGTCGGCTCCAAGCGCGTCAAGGATGACTACTCCTAAGCACCTCGCTCGTTTGGGGAGTGACGCTTGAGAGCAGCGCAAATGCGGTGAGCAAGCACGGGGAGTAATAGTAAGTAATGAGAAGACAAAGACAACAGAAACAAGACGAGCAGTAATCTGGGAGGAGAGAAGAAATGAGCATGTTTGCATTTGGTGGCGTTGGATGTGCGGTGACCCCCGTTGTCCGGATTCATTTTTTAGGAAAACAAAAACCAAACAGTTGCTACACCACCACGATTGATACCATCCTTACCTTACCTTAGGAAATTTAAACTATTCAAATCATTCTGTGTTGCTCGCAGATCAATTGTTGTGATTAGACTATGCTTGCTGGTTAACATCTCATAAGTGTTGCTCATCTGCATTGTGAGGAGGTGCAAACAGTTTCCTCCTTGAAGAGCCGTGCGTAAGCTTGTTGTGACGCTTCTCACTTACGCTCCTGTCGTATTTTCTTGAGAGTAAAACACAACGCTCGCTTGAGTCATCTCACACCAAATGTTGGCACCGGCTTGTCATCAGACTGTTGTCATTCCCAATGCATTGATATTTGCAAACAAGCCTGGTAGGGTGCCTGACTTTCTTCCACTTGGTTGCATATTTATATACCTCTATTCAACATCCCCCCTAGATTTCTCTTTCCCCTCTTTAATCACAGACCCGATTATTATACATATGTAAATAAACTTATTTACCAATTTCAGAGCAGAAAATCCGCAATTATGATCGGCCCAGAGAGCCGGTGCACCGATACGTGGTCCGCCCGGGCGCTCCAAGAGCCTAAGGATACAACCTACAAGTCTACCACAGAGACGAGAACACTGCACCTTCGAGATTGTTCAAGTAGACCACATCTTGGATACTTCTATCCTTTATATCCTGTTCTGGATGCCCGCCTTGAGCCGGGAAACGGCGTATGAAAGCGACGGCGCCCACATACACAGCCATCGCAGCCAAGTAAACAATGGGCAGCATCAAGGTCTCCAATGCAAGAGACACTTAGGTGCCCAAATGTTACTACAGAACACTTACAGCGGTTGAAAGTCCAGGTTTGAGAACCTGGCAGAACCGCTTCGATCACTTGTGACAAGAGCACCTTACTTGAAATAAATTTACGAGCCAGCCTATGTCCCCAACAGCAGCGATGTATCCTTGGCATCATAGGACAGAATCTCACAGCAACACTCAAAGGCATTTGCATAATATGCCCGGACCCATCTCCGGTGTACCGACTGTTATTCAGTCACGGGGTGAGCTCGTTCACACTGGCACACTAGGGGAACCAAGAACAAGATTGAAGAGGACGTACCAGGCCCGGACGTACCAGGCCCGATGTCTGTACATGTTTCGCTTTGTGCCCCTTCCTGCATTATCTCAATAGATTCCGGGCTATGATGAGCCAGGAAAACCTCATATCCAAGGGCTCAGTCAACAAGTCTGGGCACATCAGGGGCCGAGGAAAGCAGTCCTCCTTTTCATGCTGTTTTTGCTCTGTGTACGATACAACCTAAAGGGATACGCCTTGATCGTATTCGAGAGGTACTTTTTAGACTCCCAGCCAAGTATCATGTCGCCACCATTCAGAAAACATTCCGAGAATCAGCTTCGAGAATCATTAGCCATACAATGTTATTTATTGAATTGAATTACGTTATATATCTCAACATTAGAACTTGAAATTGGCTACCTAGTGCATTACGCAGTTGCTCGACATAGAGCGCGCTCCACGCTCGTCTTGCAATTGACGTGACTGAAAACCACAAAAGCCAACTGCAAAGATGTGCCGCAAGCTTGATTTTGACGAGTTTGGCAGGATGTTGGCCGGAAAGGATAACAAATATTCCGGAATTTTAGCAACGGAATCAATCGGGAGCCAACTCCCGCATTGAAAGGAGACCGCAGTATGTGGACTTTGTGCCCGAATCGCATGGTTGAGAGACTGCGCGTGTTCGAAACACAAGTGCCCGTCGTTACTGGTCACTTCGTCGCAATGCGGAAGAGTGCCATAATAATCCCATGGGGCCAAACATCATGCGGTCTGATATATCAACGCGGTATCTAAAGAGCTGTCCACCGCTAGCATCAAAAGACACAAAAGGGGGGCCATTTCTCCTACCACACATTCGGTTTGTTCAGTGCGTTCTGCCAACTGAACAAGAACACGGGCATCAAGCCTCGTGCCTCGTGGCGTTTCCCGTTAGCATCTCTTCGACCTACAGCAGCTCATGCTTGGCTGGTGAGTGGAAGACAAAACAGTCCCCCTGGTAAAGCAGAAGGCACAAGCAATTCTTCGACAAGAGCCTCTCTCAAGAACCAAGACTGTGAGGACTTGCAAGACAGCAAGATGGCAGACTTTGACCCTTCTCGTACTTTCCCTGTCTCAGAAGGCGGAAACGCAACCTCTCTCATTACTCTTTATATACTTGTTCTGCTCAAATAGTCTTGGGATAGTCAGTCCGACAATTATCACATCGGCCAGACTTCGCGATTGAACCATGTCGCACCACACCCCGACTTATGTTGCTTCGTCGTCTCATTGTTCAAGACTTTGAAGTTAGGCCATGTCTCACGCAGCCCCGTTCCTCGTAGTTGAATATGACACCGATTGGAGGGATGGATCAGCTTGCATACATGTATCAGCTACGAATTCGAGTAGAAGCTCTCTTTTTCACACATAACCACTTCAACTCCAGATAGTTATGACCTGAGGCTAGGTACAGCTCTGATCTATTACTATACAAAGCGAGCTATCTCTTTAGCCTTGAAAACAAGCACCCATATTTTAAAAACATCTACTTTGCCAGCAAGAGTGCAAGAGCATAGTCGCCAAGAGTCTTACAGACAGTGAAGAGACCCTGGAGGTGCATTCATACCATTCAGCAATCGACTCGAACTTTTTGAATTGTAAGTCGACGACTCGCGACATCTTCGTATCCGTGAGCAACCAAGCACAGTCCAGAGCTGCGATGTTAGGGTCACAGAAGTACTCAAGAATGATGGGACGACAATTACACAATTTGAAATGGTGGCCGAGGTCGACCTTCAGCGAGTTGAACTCTCCCTGATCTTATACATTCAAAGTCTTCTTATATACATACTCAAGCTTGAATTACACAAGATAACACGAGGCAGCTAGATTTTGAAACTTCTCTGCATCTTTGAGTCGGACTCAGCATCCCACGCTATAGTCTTCTATTTGAGAACCAACTCGATGAGCGCCAGGGGAACAAACATCCCGTGTGCTCTTAAGCACGGTTTCAACATATAAAAGCTGCACAGCGAGGAGATGTAAATGCCACAAGAGCCAAACAAGCACAATGGCTACATTCACAATACCTTTTCTAACCCACTACCGCGAAGAAGGGTACCTCCGAACTTCCTTTTTTAGGTGATACCGAGAACCAAGGGAGATTCAACTTCTCATTCTTTCCAACCAGGCGAAAGTCAGTATACGGCTCAACACACACACATTACATTAAGCATCTCTGGGATGTGGAGAAAAGACCGGTCAAAATGCCGCCGCATCTACAAAGATGCAGACACCACACGAACCGTCGCCGAACCCAGAGTGGCATGCGCGCTTACAGTCGCAGAGACAATCTAACGCGACTCCGCGATAACTTCGACTGTCTAAGCTCGGGCCGTCCCAGATTAACAACTATTGCAATGCTGGATGAAGCACTATGATGCTTTCAAGTTGCAGGGCAGAAAACGGCTAGATGACTGCCCACTGTCAAGACTGTCTCATCGGCCGAGGTCCTGATTGTCAATAAGTCTGGTAGGTCTGATGATCAACAAATCAGCACGTGCGATTTTCCAACACACTTGCATGCCATTCACGAATTAACAGTTATGAATCGAATATCTCCTTTATGAGTCTCAGAAACCATCATATTATAGCTACATAATTATTATTATTAGTACACCGGTGAGGCTAAAGCTCTCGGTACTTCTACCTAGCACTAATCATATAGTAAAGCCTTGCATGAAAGCTGGGCGAAAACCTGTATGCATTTATGTATGTATGCAGCGTTATGGCTGCGCCGTCGTAACGTTCTCGTCCCTGCTAAACTGAGACTTTCCCTCTCAGTACAGTATCATAGGAAAATAAAGAAAGAAGGGAAGAAAGAGAGAGGAAACGGGATGAAGAGGCAGTATAGCCGAATGCCACAGCCCTCTCGCCATGACCTCGTAGCGATAGCTCCGTAAGTTCCTTCCCCCTTAGATAGCACTAGAGAAGCCTCAAACAGTTAGATAACAACCAGATAATAACTATAGGTATCGTAAGAGGGTCTCTACGATGTCTCTACGATGGGAGAGTAGCGTAAGGCGGCTGAATGATAGTTTGTATGCTTATATAGGCTATCTCTCTAAGAGAGTATAAATATCTCTTCCCTTCTTTCTTCTTTTCTCTTTTTCTCCTTTTAGTCTTTAGTCTTTCAAAAGGTAATCTATGATCTCCCTACGACCCTTATGATATCATAGCGACCGTTCTATAAGTGAGGATTTGGGTGTAAGCCTATAGCGATCCTACTATAAGTATTGTATGACTCTTTTACGACCTTTGACTAATTTCTTTTAACCTTAGATTTATACTATAGCTACCATCGAGATGTTTGGAAAGAAAGGAAAGCTTATCACTTGGTAAATATAAATGTGTTACTACCCACCTACGACGCTGCTGATCGCCTACAATGATATAGCTACTACTCCAACCACTTGTTACCATTATATAAATGCCGTCGTAAAGGCTGTCACCAAGTCTGACACGATTTGTTTCCATCACGCTGGTATATATCTACGATCTCGCTACAGCCCTTCTGCTAACCCTCTGCTAGTCTCTAGCACTATCAAGTGTTTTGTTTACGCCAACAAAAATCGCCCCGACTGTATCGTCGTGAGTATCTCGCCCCTATCTCGCTCCTGGGCCGCTGCTAACCCCTTGCTAGCTCGCTGAGGAGCATCAGGAGGACGCCCAGAAGATTATGGACGCCTTGGCTGCCTAGAATGCCGCCAAGACTGCTAAAGCTTATAGCTACATGAAAGCAACCATATATCGGAGTTACGATTTCACGAACACACCTTGAGACTGTAGACTCGAGATCTACTGTGATGTGTGTACCAAAATAGAGGTTGCGGATGCATCCAAGGACCTCTTCTGCTTTAAGTGGTACCTTTACTGCCTATAAAACCACAACAGTCAATACTTCCGGAAAGTGTCGCACAATAGACACATATGGCATTGCATCGCCCACGATAATTGCAGTGCAGTCACGCAGCAAGCTGCCAGTAACTGATGAGCTGTCAAAAGCGACTCGGACTATTCTCTACTTGACTTCCACTTCATTGGGAGATGGAAGACAAATGCGGCAACTGCGTCAAAGTTGGAAAAATAGGGTTGAGTTATTACATCTAAGCGGCAACCTATCAGCACACAATGACTTTGCAACCTTTACGCGCCGCAAATACGCGAAACTTGCTGGCTATAGGAGCTGGACTTTCTCCTTGATCAACACAAGACCTATCCAAAACAGAGTTGTCAAGGTGGGCTGGATCAAGGAGATGGAGAAGGCGCCGAAAAAGCCTACCCAAAAGTGTGAAGAGGCAGCGGCAATCCATCAAATCAATCTGCATTTCAAGATATATTCGCACAACCTACTCCCCCATATATGGGACATAAACACCGTCGCTTCGGCTTGAGAGTATACCCAGCTTGCATCCTGAGTTGATACATGGCGGTCTTGTAACAATATATTAGCCAACCATACCCTTCATGTGCTGACAGGGCCGGCGCATTGTCTGAAGTATCAAATCAAACCCGGATGGACTCTAATCAATAACTCCATGTCGAAGGCGTTGCTGAGAGACGCCTATTACCAACATCAAACATGCTGGCTCGAGCCTTTAGTCTCGGCAAGAACAGACTCTGATCGACGCTGTCGTGTCGTGTCCGTAGACCATGCTCTACACCGCCAATCACCATGCACCAAGCCCAGCCCCTAAGCACTTCTACGTCTTCGAGGGAGCCACGATGGGCCACACGGTGGACATGGGAGCACAGAACCCAAATCTTTTGCCTCGAGGCATGGAGACGACCAGTGCCTCCAGAAAGCAGACGGTTCTCATGCCGGCCTTCGGTATGGATATCAACGACATTATACCCGTTGTGACTGATGGCCTACCAATCCGCCTTCTGGAATAGCCTAGCTAGTTTGCCATCATCATAGCAAGTGCAATTTGCGAATCAATTCGGGCTTTAAAGGAGCAGTGCCGTCGAGTAGTGATCGTAAGCTCAGAAGTATGCCGTCAGTGAAGTGTATCATGAATCGAGTCAAGTCTGAATCACAGTTACGAGTACCGATAGCAGTGCTAGGAAGTTGCCCTCTCTTGTCTCTTTTCAAATCAACTATCTATCTCCTTCTCTGGCTTGGTGTGTCTTGATCTGCCGCCTCCTTCTTTCTGTCCCATGCGTATGTATACAGCCCAGTCCCACTCATCATCTTCTACTCCGCTCCGCGCCGCCCCCATGCAATTGATTTCGTCTAGAGGAAGCCACAGCAGAATGATCTCGGAATGTTTGGTTCCATCCCATCAAAACAATTCCCAGCCAAGCCATCCCGCACTCCTGTAGTCTAGGCCATCATCCCAAATGCGTGTACAGGGTATGTCCCAGCTTTGAAAAAGGAAAAAGAAAAAAAGGAAGACTGTCCTGCAATGCAACAAGTTGGAAATGAAATAAACACAAGGCAAGCAAGTTTTCCGACAGCAACGAGAGCAACTCGATGCCTGACAAGAGACAAAGGGGAGGAAAAACATGTGAAAAGGACAAAAGACCTCCCAAATTCCATGCTATGATACGTGTGCTCATTGCCTCTTTGATAAAAGGAAAAAGAAACGGTCGATGGCATCGGCCCCCTTTTCGTGCTCGTCAATCCGATAGCAAATTTCAAGCCAAGAGCGCAGACCAGCTGTGCCCAGCTTAGCCCCTTCCATCTTTCTCTCGCGTACTCCTCTCCCATGGTATTCTGACATGTGATATCTCAACCAAACTCAACCGCAGTCCACGCACAAGCAATGCAGCATGTTTCCCGATAATACACAATGATCTATCCCTATCTATCCGTCTACCATGGGGCTTGCGGCCGGACTCACAGTGTCCAGCGGCGCAGCATGCAGCGCTGGTCGGCCGCCGTCAACTTTTGGCACGAGGCCTCTCTTCTTCCGTTCTAATGCGCCGGTCACCCAGGCGGCCACCTCGGGGTCAGCCCCCTCGGCGTTGAGGTTAAGCTGCTTGGCTGCGGCATCTGCCAGACTGTCCGCTGCGGCATCTTCTTCGGCTTCCGACTCCTCAGCGATAGTCTCTGGTTTCGTAAGCCCCTTAATCCAGGGATGCTGAAGAAGTTGAGGATATGTGAGTCGCTTCTTTGGGTTTTTGTTCAAACACGATTTGACAAAATCTCGTGCCGATGCTGAGTATCCTTCCGGAGGTAGATCTGGAGGATCACCTTCTACGATGGCCTGTACATGTGTTAGCAGTCTTATATGCTCGCTTGGGAAGAGAGAGAACTCACGCTCAACTGGCTAAAGATCGTCGAGGAGACCTCTGCCGGATATGGATACTTGCCCATGGCGCACTCTATTATCGTGAGACCCAAGCTCCAGATGTCGCTCTGCACACTGTAGGTTCCGTCTGCACCGGCAGTCATGTTGCCGCCAGAAATTCGCTCTGGAGCCATGTAACTCTGGCAGCCAATATTCGTCTTCGCGATAGAAGCCACAAGGTTGCCACTGACACCGAAATCGCAGATCTTGACCTGGCCGTCTGTATTCACCAGGATATTGGTGGGCTTAACATCCCGATGGATGATGTTGTGCTCATCTTTCAAAGACTTCAGACCCATTATGGTAGAGTATGTAATCTTGCGCAGTACACTTTCTGGGATGCCACCAGCATAGAGTTTGTCAATCGACCCGCCGTCCATGTACTCAATGCACATGTATACCGCACCTTCCTGGAAGAATGCGCCATAGAAGTCGATGATGTACGGTGATACACACTCATGTAAAATCACGAGCTCTTTGAGAATGGTTGTGAACTTGGACTCATCGAGTTCAAGTCTTATTTCCTTCATTGCCATCACCTTGCCAGAGGTAGAGCCCTCCGCAACGCTCTCAAGCGTGGCAACCTCGGTCTCAGAGAGCGAATTTTGACGAGACGCTGGTTTGAAGCCACTGAGACCCGGGCCGAAGCGCGGTGCTTTGGGCTTGGCATGTCGAACCTTGAAGACGGTTCCGTAATTGCCTTTACCAAGTTCATCGAGTACTTGGATCTCGTCTAGAGAGATTGAGAACGTCTGGCCGCTTGCGAAGTTGACACCTGTCCGGGTGATTGTTGCTGCGCCCTCGAACGTAATCCAGCCCTTCTCTGCATCGATGTAATTCTTGAAATCATTCCATTTTGAGCTTCGTGCAGCTCCGTTCAGTGTTGGCTGCTGTGGAGCTGCGCCACCTTGCATATCAGATAGCTTTGGTGTGCCACCTGTAGGAGACCCTCCACCAGGAAATCCTCCGAGCTTCATCTGCCTTCTCTCACTCAGACCTGGCTTCTTTATGCCGGGTACCGCCGGTGCAGACTTTGGAAATCCAGTACCTGGCATTGGTCTAGCCATGCCGCCGGGAAGCCTGAGGTTGCCTGGAAGACCGCCCTGTAGTCCCCCCATTGGAGATCCTGGACTACCCATAGACGGGCCACCTCCCATACCTGACGACGGTCCTGAGAGACCTGGACGAGGCATGCCCATCCTCTCCGCTTGAAGCGCACGTGCTTTCTGTAGGAGATCGGTTGGCAGATTGTTTGCCGAAGGAGTGGGCCGTCTGGCATTGTTCAGCGTGCCGGTGACACTGGAGCTCGAACTCATCAGACTCGTATTGGTCTGTGGATCTGACACTGTCCGTAACGAGGGCACCCTCCTTGGGATATCTTTGGATATAGAAGGGTCGGCGTCGGACGACGAACTCGGTGGGTCGAGCGGGGTGCTGGCTTCGGAGGATTCATCGGCTTCGGAGCCGGGGGACGCGGGGTTGCTGTCATAGTACTCGTCCGGCGTAGCCGGTACGGAGTCGGCGTCTGCCATTGTGGATGGTATGATAGGAGGGAAAGAGTCGATGGTGAGGTAATGTGTGTTGGAAGTCTCAATATGCCCCGTTTTCTCGCATGGGTGGTGTTGTGTTGTGCCGAACTTTCAGTGCGAGAACATTCGAGGAAGGCTTTGTCAAGGCAAGTAATGCAGCAGGAAGGTGGCGCTGGAAAGGCGTCCGGAAGGGCCTCGCCGGCGATCGACAAGTAACTAGAGAGATGCGTATTGCTTTGTTGGAGCTCTGGGTAGAGTAGAGGTAGACGAAGTGGTAGTTGTTCAAGGGGGCGCTCTCTCGTAAGCGCCTTTAGTACTGGTAACGTTGAATTTCTCGATGCGGGCGAGAGCAAACACGACGACGACAACGACGATGACAGCTTCTGATACACACAGCGCTGTCGACTAGGTAGGTACTGTAGGTGAATGCAGCTCTCAATGAGATCCGTCCGAAGGGATGATCAGAGGTCTGCGTCAGATTTATGGGGAATGATGGGCGAGTGATAGGGAAATTGGAGATGCGATGCAGGACCAAGATTGACGGCTTGTGAAGGTGCTCCTCATTGACGTGGAAATTTGGGCGATGAGAGCAGCCCACAGAAGCAGTCTAGCGCCGAGCTTAGGGTGTCCTCCGCAAATCTCCAACCCCTCAGCGAAGAGGGAGGTATAGTACAGTACCTAGCTGGCCGACCCCTCCAGCGCCTCCTCTTACGTAGCACCGTACAAGACATCCTTCACTGATCCTGGTCAAGTACCTCGTCACCCAGACTGACTGATGGACTACTACCAAACTGGGACTGTGCTTCTAGCCACAACACGAGGGGGTAAAGGTATGGCAACGAGGCACAGTTCAACGGGAGATCCTATTTGGTAGTGCCCAATTGGCTTGCATGTCATTCCTCCATACCTATGCCCTGCTCTAGTACTACTGCTGCACGAACAAGAAGCACGGCATTTGAAGCTCATCATGGTTCACGCGGTCTTCGCCTCTTTGCCCCGGCGCACACCCTCATACATACGTCAGGAAGGACTTCTCCGGGCGGTGCTGTCCTGGCCCAGGGCAGGAAAAAGTACAGAGCAGAGTATGACGGTCATGGGAAACAAGATGAGATGCTGCGGGCTTTCGCTGCTGGATCGAGAACAACCCAGTGCAGTAGTACTATGCCATATCGTAGCATCGCAGTGCCTTAGCTGCTTGGACCTGCGATGCGGCACTACCACTAGCAGCATAGCCAGTGTAAGCCGTTCGATGACGTTGATGGAGGCAGTTCTGGGAGGTGTGGCTTGACCGTGTGGCCACTCAGGTTGTGGCCTGGAATCCTGGATGCAACTCCCTGGGCCACTTTCGCAACCCATGCAGCGCACCGGCTTGCTCGAGATTGACATCAGGCCATCCGCTAAGTGTCAACGTCAAGCGAAAAAGCAGGATAGACACGATCCTCTCGAATATCTTCCTCTTTGGTACGCCTGAAACGCTCACATCGACTTTAAAATGGGATCTGCTGGAGCGCCGATGTTCTAATCTGGTCTCAGCCGGCCCAGCCCTGGTTCGCCCCCATCGCCCGACATTCCAAGCTTGCGTACGGGGTACCAGTATTGGGTATCTTGTCATGTTTTGTCTTGCTTCTGTTTCTCGGCCGTGATCATGTTTGAGTGTGAGACACCATCGCATATTCGCCCACGATACCGTCTTTTCCCATTCTTTTACTTTTGGCCCGCTGCAGCTCCTACGCCATAGGCCGGTGTGGGGAGACCCGTCCAGGCGGGCCAATACCTAGCGACCCCAGTTAGTCGGCCGTGTCGAGGACGTCATCGTGTAATGCCGGTTTCTTATGTGATTTCTCGGTAGTCGTATCAAGCCCGTGTGCTACAGAGTAATAATTGAAGCTTCTATGCATCACAGCCTGGTCAGGCACGGCAGGGCAGCCACAGAGTAATTTTCCTGGTCCCTGAATCCTGAAAACCGTTTGGGCGGCTCATAGTGCACAGCTTCCAAGGGTCCTCGCGCCACTTCCAGCATCCACCTGGAAATCTTTGAATCATTCGAGCTGAAGAAACGGTCAACCTGCATTCGAAAACCCTGACTTCAAGATTTGCGTCCTGGAGGCGCAATCACCAAGATAGCCAAAGCGGGTCCATCGGAGTGATAGCGAGGCACGGCAGGTCCGTGAGTGGTGGCTTGCCGGTTTCCGGACGGGGACATGGCCTATCATGGCCATCGCCGCCGCGAAATTTGAAGCCTGCATCGCGGCTGGTTACTACTAGACTTTTCGTCTTGAATGGATCATGCAAAGACCTCGCGTGTGGAGGCTGCCACTTGTCGGCTGTTAATTTCAGTTCAACAAACGCCACTAAGAAGCGACACCAACGAATCCGGACAGGGAAACCGTGCAGTTGCTTGCAATCAGTGAGTACTTGGTGATGACCACCATATCACGCAGGCCGTCAGGATAAGTGCCTGGTCTTCTCTGCTGGACTTGCCAACACGCCGCGAAGTTCCGCACAACGATCCCTTGACTTTGTCAGACATTGCGGTGTGAAGCGGCCGGGCTGATGTGGACTCGGTTGTTATATACCACGCAATGACAGTAAGTGCTTGGGCTCGTTGGCGTGGCATCCTACTAGTGGCAGATGGATTTAAATTTACGTCTCGTGCAAGATGACCTCACACCGTCTTGAACTTTGGATTTGCCCTTAGAGCATCTGCGAGAAGCTGCGTTACCTCCCCACTGCTCTCCTAGCCCGGGCTTTCCTGTTGGACCTTACATGAGAATCGTGCCAGCCTCTCACATCCGGACAGATGGGCTGGTGTCGGAAATCCACAGCGACGCAGCGAGCGTCGTACCCCAAATAGAGGTTTGCGCAGCCAGCGCACCTGCGTCTCGTAGAAAAGTTGCTGGCCAATCAGGGCGTGATCCCTGATCCTCGATCCTCACCAGATCAGAGATAGTTGGCAGGCCTGGGCGAGGCTTTGTCCACGTTTCTGGGACAAGTCGAAGTAGTGGTCTGGTTCCTTAGCGCGCTACAGCAGCAGAGCGGATACTTGAAAATGGCACGAGAGTCTGGGCATACTGTGGCAGGACCCTGCTTGCCTGGGTCTGTGAAGAGGAACAAGTATAGAGTCACATGCAGCAATACAGCATATTCAGGATCCGATGCTTTTGCCTGTTTGTTGTTTCGACGAGTTAGATCTGTTACCCCTCGTCTCTTCAGCTGAGTGGTCCACTTTTGGAGAGAAAGATGAGGCAGGAATGGCGTAAGCTCTCCAGAGGATGAGGAAAGGCCACCCGATTTAGCCCAGCGCATGGAACAGTTTCGGCAGGCGCTACCCGCATCCCCAGCCAGCGCACTGTACACCTCCGCCGGGGTAATATTTGTTAATTTTGAGTGAGAATTGTGACTTTTCAGACAAGGGAGTTACTACTTTTACCAAGACCAGCGGGGCTATAGA